GTGTAAATGTCATTTGGTGGTGTTTGGTTCAAGTCTCCACATCAGGGACGTTGGGTTCAGGAGTCGTGTGTGGAGTCCCGTAGGATAGTGGTTAGAGCACTCGCCTCACAAGAGAGAGGACCTGGGTTTGATTCCCGACAGTGAGAAACGTTGGGCAGGTTTCATTACCCCCACGTGGGTCTGTTGACCCAGCAGCAAGTAGGAACAGTAACTTGGTCAATTAGCTGATCGCTTTCTGTGGGTAATAATCCCTCAAAAGAAAACTGATTCCTCAATCCACGACTGTTTGTGGGACACTGCTGTGCGTAATTGACTGCCACATTTCTCCGACAAAACATAATCAATTCACTTTACAGTATAGACTGTGAAGCGCTGTGAGACGTCTGAGGCGCTCTATCAAATACAAGGATTATTATGATTATCAGGTGTTTGCTGACATTCCTGCTCAGTGATGGGGGGGAACACTGTATTATCTGAGGTGACATGTTTTAGGTTTGACGATAATTATTCCGATTTTCTCCCTTGGTGTCCTGGCTGACAATTCCTCCCCCACTCCACCCCCCTCGATAAAATTAGTCGTTCACTTCATGGCTGTTTGTGCCAAGTTCTATATTGGCTGCTACATTTGCCTACAAATGCACGGTAACTACATTTTGCAGTAAAGTCCTGTTTGCTTTGAGGCATCTTCCCGACGTGAGAGGCGTTGTATCAATTGACTATATTATTATTACTATCCAAGTCTATTTTTCTGCTAAACGGATCTCTCCAGCTTTCTGGGAAAGAGGGTTCCACCTCTTCACAACCTTCTGTGTGAGGAAATGCTTCCTGATCTCAGTTCTGATGTGTCTTGGTTCTGATTTTGAGGTGCTGCCTCCTTGTAAGCTCTCTGAGATGCCGCATCTCATATAAATGTAAATTGTTGTTGTGGTTTGAGCACTCGCCTTGCAAGCGAGAGGACCTGGGTTCGATTCCCGGGCAGAGCAAAACCTTAGGCAGGATTCCTTACTCCGCACGCCTCTGTTTACCTAGAAGTAGGAACCCTTCTTATTGTTAGTTGATTCACTTTTCCGGAAGTAATAATCCTGTAAAAAAAAAAGAAATAATAATAATAATTTGGTCACTCAATCCACGACACTGTTGGTGGGACACTGCTGTTGTGTAATTGACTGCCTCGTTTCGCGCACAAAATATACAGTCAATTCACTTTATGATATATTCTGTGAAGCGCTTTGAGACGTCTAGAAGATGTAATAAGGCACTGTATCAAGTAAAAGGATTATTATTGCTATCCCTGTCCAAGAGGGAAGAATCATCTATTATCTCACCTTTGAATTCCTTTCATTATTTTTATTTTATTTTTATTTTAAATCAGGTCACCCCTTTAATCTGATTTAAGGAATATAATCTCAGTTTTTCTTCACAGCTCAGATCATTCCTTTGTTTCTCATCTGTTCCGGTTTACGTTAAAAAAAATCACGTGTCAGATTCTGTTCAAAAAGCGAAGGGATTTTTTTCTCTCCTGACCAAAAATCCCCACTCACTTCATGGCTGTTTGCGGGACAATGCTGTGTACAAATTAGCTGCCTGGTTCGCCTACAAAATACATAGTCGCTACACTTCAATTTGAGACATCAAGAGGAACCTTGAGCTATCATCTATACATTTGATTAAAAAAANCAGGAGGACATCTCAAAGCACTTCACAGGTTTCTTTGCTCTGCTGCATTGTCAGAGGTGTCATCATTCAGATGAGACGTTAAACCAATCTGCCTTTCAGGTGGATGTTAAAATCCCATGGTGCTATTTGAAAAAGAAAAGGGAGTTTCTCTCTCTCTCTCCAAGGGTCCTGGCCAACAATCCCCCCAAATAAAATTGGTCACTCACTCCACGGTTGAGTTTGTGGGACATTGCTATGTACAAATTGGTTGTCCCGTTTCACCCACAATCACTGCACTTCACAGTATAATCTGTGAGACGTCTCAACGACATGATAGGGCCCTTTGTCAAATGCAAGAATTAGTATTATAACAATCCCTCTCCCACCTCTGCCCGCTCATGGCGTGACTCAAAGAGAAGGGAATTTCTCTCTCCCGGTGCCCTGGCCGATAATCCCCAGATCAAAATTGGCCATCCACTTCATGGCTGTTTGTGGGGCATTACTGTGCAGAGTTTACTGAATCTTTAGTACAGTTTCCAGCAGTTTATTAGACTTTGTGTCTTTGTACTTTGGTCTATAGGGCCCTATAAACTTGGAACGTGATAATAATAATGATAAAAATCCTTGCTTTTTTTTGCATTTGTACTTTCACCTTGCAGGATTGACTAAAGTGTAGTGACCTGTACCTCAACTTTTAAAGCTGATCCACGGATAATTGCTGTCAAGTGTAGTGACTGTGTATTGACTGCAAAGTCCCACAAACAGTTACAAGGCAAACCCATAATAATACCCAGAGAGTTGTTACGGTCTGGAAAGCACTGCCTGAAAGGTTAGTGGAAGCGAATTGGATAATAGCTTTCAAAAGGGAATTGAATAGGCACTTGAAAAGGAAAAATTTGCAGGGTTGTAAGATAGAGCGAGGGAGTGGGAAGCTGGTGGCTCTTTCAAAGATCCGGCACAGGCACGATTGGCCGAATGGCCTCCTTTGTGCTATAAAATTCCATGTTTCTATAACATTCCTTGCATTTGATATAGCTCCTTATCATGTCTCAAAGCACTTCACAGAATATAATGCAAAGTGAATTGACTGCGTATTTTGTGGGTGAAACGCGGCAGCCGATTGCGCACAGTATCTCTGTTTACAATAGTGTCTCAGCTTCTTGATGGACCTTGATTTTGAGGAAAGGCGAGAGAGGCCGGGATTATTCTCATTGGAGCAGAGAAGGTTACGAGGACCTAATAGAGGTCTTCAAAATCATGAGGGGATTTGATAGGTTAGAAAGGGAAAAGCTGTTCCCACTGGTGGGTGTATCGGTGACTCGAGGTCACAGATTCAAAATAGTCTCCAAAAGAAGCCGAGGGGCGGGGAGAAGAAATTTTTCACGCAGCGAGTTGTTCGAATCTGGAACCCATTGCCTGAAAGGGCGGTCGAGGCCGATTCGATAACTACTTTTAAAAACACGGTGGACGGGTATTTGAGGAGGACGGGTTTGCAGGGTTATGGGGAGAGGACTGGGGAGTGGGATTGACATTGCATTGCTCTATTCAAAGACTTGATGGGCCAAATGGCCTCTTTTTGTGCTGTACGATTCTACGGTTCTATGATCTTTGACATCCATCTGATCGGGACCTCGGGAGTGGTGTGGGGGGCGAGGGTGGAGAGTAGAGAGAACAAACATGCTGTCGGTCGTTGTTCGACCCTGGTTCATTACTCCAATTTACTCTCATTTTCTCCTTCTTTCCTTCCTTCCTTCCTTCCTTCCTGGCCGGACCTGAGGCCTAGAGGGTTGCTAGGCAACTAGGCCTGAGGCCTTCACCAAAACCCACTCTGTTGACCCTCCAGGACGTTTGAGATAGTGACTTGGGCATATCTTGTCAGATTTATTTTCTCTCCTCCCCCCCCCCCCCCCCCCCACTTCCCCCCCATACTCTCTCCCCCTATTCTCCACTGTGGTATAGCTTTGATAACCAACAAAAATTAGTTCAGTTCAGGCCTCAAACTCTACTTTGCTCTTGTCAGGCCACATCTGGGGTAGTGAGTAGGGCGTCCTGCTCCGCCACTGTCAAGCGCGCTGGGACCCTCCCTACCCTGCGTGGGGGACGCTATATGCGTTGTTGTTGATATTGTTTTTGTTGTTGAGTCCAGCTCTGGTCAGGCCACACCTGGAGCAATGCATCAGGCAGTAGAGTGACCCTATGTGAGAGTAAACGAACGCAAGATCATTAATTTTTTTCTTTCTGCCTTTTTTATCCTTCATTCTTATTCATCTCTTTCTCTCTCTCTCTCTCTCTCTCTCTCTCTTTTTCTCATTCTTTTTCTTTCCTCCCTCTCTCTCTCTTTCTCCTCACTGTTTTTCTTTTCACTTGTAATTTTCTCATTCTCTTTTTCTTTCTTTCTCTCTCTCTCTCTCTCTCTCCTTTTGCTCTCTCTCTCTTTTTCCGCTCTTGTCTGGATGGTTCGGGTGGAAGGGCAGATCAGCCACTGAGGGCTGGGAGTAATCCCACTCTTCTCCTGCTAACACTGCAAACCAATTCCTGTGAATAGGAGGCAACGTGTTTCAATTAGTTCACTCATCTTAAGGCTCAGTTTCATTCATGAAGTTCCTCGTTCTTTCTTTCAAATGTCTCACCCAACCTCTCAGGTCTCATTCGGTGCAATCCCCTCATTCCCCATTATCTCATGATCTTCAGCAGGCTGTGGCCTGCTCCATGTCCCCCCCGAACCCTTCCTGCTCCACCATCAGCGGTCAGACCTTCAGCCTTTCTGCCCCACCCTCTGGAACTCCCATCGAACAATCCCTTCGCTTCTCCCCCTCCCTTGCCTGCTTCAAGCCATGTCTCAAGACCCTCCTCTTCGACCGTGCCTTTGGCCACTCTCCCCCCTTTTAGTTGGTTAGCCTCCAGCAGTTACCCACAACGCACACTCCGCCAACCTGCGCCTAACACTTTCCGGAATTAGGTAAGCAGGATGCGTCCCTCCAGGGAGAGAGAGAGAGAGAGAAGAGAGCGCGTTCCATTCCAACAATCTATCTCTGGGATTTCCACGTGTAAGTGGGATGCAGGGAATTCTTAGCTTGGTTTGGAGGCTCTTAAATATGGTGATGGGTTTCCGCGTGTGTCAGATACTCGGCTGAGAAAAAAACAAACCAGGTAGTCTGGTATTACCAGTGAGCACCTCTATATAATCTGATAAGCAGGTGCACACCACAAATAATAATCCTTATTAATTATCCTTTTGATACAGTGCCTTTCATGTTGCGGTCGACCTGAAGCCTTTGGGATGTGATGCTCTGTTGAGAAGTTGAGAATTTCGGAATAACAGATGTTGGGAACTTTCTTTGCAGTTTACGAAAGTTTGGATCCCTGACCCTGAAGATGTTTGGAAATCGGCAGAAATTGTCAAGAATTACAGGGAAGAGGATGAGCATCTTCACCTTCAACTGGAGGATGGCATGGTGAGTAGAAAAACATACAAAGCCCTCCATGGCCTCGCCCCACCCTACCTCTGTGACCTCCTAACCTCTACCAACCCGCCCGTTCCCTCCGCTCTGGCCTGCTCCACGTCCCCTGACCCATCTGCCCCACCATTACCTCCTTAGCCTCCCGCCTCTTCGACCATGCCATCGAGCACCCCCTTCCCTCCCTTACCCCCCCCAACCCTAGCTCGGGTCTGAAATGCTGTATTCTGTCCAGCACCTTGGGACGTCCTCCCAACGTGAAAGGTGCTATACAACTGTAATCTTGTTGTTGTTGTTGTTGTTGAGTGTGGGCACGGAGGGAGGGAGTGAGTTTCAGTCAGGGAGAGAGCAGGAATGGGGTTAGAGTAGAGAGCTCCAGTGGGGAGCAACCACTATTACAGACACGATGGGGAGAGAGAGCAGGGATGGAGGAGAACATGGGATGAGTAGAGAGCTCTAGGGAGCGAGCCCCATTACAGACACGATGAGGAGAGAGAGACCGGAACGGGCTGGGGGAGATGCGGAGCAGGCAGATCACAAGGAGGTAGGGAGGAGCAAGGCGGTGGAAAGCAAGGACGGGAGGAGGGGTCTTGTTGCGATGGTTCACTAAAGTAGCTCAAAAAGAAGCTGGATAAGCAATTGAAGGAGGACACTTAGAACAGAAATGAGACAAGACGTGTGCCAGGATGGTGGAAGGCTAACTGGACGGACCTTGGTCTTCTTTAACCGAGCAAATTCTTATAATGAGCATCAGAGCTGTGAGGGTGAGTTAGTGACACAGTGATTGACGTCCACGTTCATGGAAATGTCTTGTAGCCCCTGGAGTATCCCATTGGCCCGAAGGCGAACCCGATGCCCTTCCTGCGTAACCCCGACATCCTGGTGGGTGAGAACGACCTGACAGCCCTCAGTTACCTCCACGAGCCCGCCGTGCTCCACAACCTGAGGGTCCGCTTCCTGGAGACCAACGCCATCTATACTTACTGCGGTGAGTGGGCTGGGGGGAGGGAGGGGGAGGGGGAGCGGGAGCGGAGGGGCATGGGAAGGAGGGGCGGGGGGAGGAGGAGCTGGGGGGGGAGGGGGAGAGTACAGAATGTACTGTAAAGTGGATTGACTGCGTATTTTGTGGGCAAAATTTAAGTGCCCCTGCGCCGCCCTCCCTCCCTCCCACCCCACCCCCTCCCCAGTTCTGCACAGCAGTTTTATTATCATTCGTGGTGTCCTGGCCAAGGTATCCCTAGAATACAAGGGTGAGGATCTTGAAGTCGATCCTCTCTGGCAGTCTGGCAAGGACTGGGGTGATCGGGGAACGGAGTTTGGTGCGGGTGAGAATGCGGGCGGCAGAGTTTTGAATGATCTGGATTTTGTGGATGGGAGGCCGGCGAGGGGGGCGTTGGAGTAGTCCAGCCGAGAGGTGACAAAGGCATGGACCAGGGTTTCAGCGGCTTTCGGAGAGAGGTATTGGCAGAGACGGGCGATACGTCGGAGGTGGGAGAAAGCGGTGCTGGTGAGGGACCAGATGTGGGGGAGGAAGGATAATTGGTGGTCGAACCTGACGCCTAGGTTGCGTACGGATTCGGAGAGATCTGGGTAGGTGGAGGAGGTGAGAGCCATGAGATTTTAGATGTTGATGAGAGCCATCAGCTGAAGGAAATTTGCGCTCATCCAGCCTCTGAGATCTGACAGGCAGCTGACAGAACTGGGGCCTGGGGGTCACAAAAAGGGGTGGAAAAATAGAGTTGGGTATCATCCGCGTATATGTGGAAATGTACCCATAATGACATCCCCAAGAGGGAGCATGTAGATCAGAAAGAGGAGGGGGCCAAGGATGGATCCTTGGGGTACCCCGCAGGTAACCGGGTGAGAGTGGGAGGAGAAGCCGTTTGTGCAAATGTACTGCTGACGATTTGTGAGGTAGGACTCGAACCAGGCGAGTGCGGTCCCACTGAGGTGGATGATGGAGGAAAGGCAGTGGAGGAGGATGGCGTGATTGACTGTGTCGAATGCCGTGGAGAGGTCCAGGAGGACAAGGAGGCAGAGGGCCTCCCCTGGTCACGGATAGAGAGGATGTCGTTCATGACTTTCACAAGTGCAGTCTCTGTACTGTGGGCAGAAACCAGACTGTGAGGGGTTGAAGAGGGAGTGGGAGGAGAGGTGTGCGCGAAGTTGATTGGCAACAACGTGTTCTAGGACCTTTGCGAGGAAGGGCAGGTTAGAAATAGGGTTGGGGTTTGAGGGATCTAGGGAAGGTTTTTTGAGGAGGTGGGTGATGACAGTAGTTTTGAGGAGGGCAAGGACTGATCCGGAGGAGAGGGACTGGTTGATGATGTCAACACAAGAGGAGGGGCAGCTGGATGACCACCAAGTTGGTGGGGAGGGGCCCGAGGCAGCAGGTGGTGGGTTTCATGGAGGTGATGGTGGGTGAGAGGGAGGAGGAAGAGATGGGGAGGAAGGAATGTAGGATGGGCTGGTGGTAGGAGCAGATGATGGGGAGTGTGAGGGGGCCAGAGAGGGCGTGGTGGTGGGTGACAAGAGGCAGGTGGATGAGGCTGACTGGCGGATGTTGTGAATTTTAGATGAAAAGAAGTTCATGACCTCCTCGAACTTGGAATTTGATATGAAGATTGAGGAGATCTGAGGGGGGTCACGGAGGATGTAGTGGGTGGTAGAAAAAAGGATTTTAGGGTTGTGTTTAGCCTACAAGATGATGTTGGAGAAGAAGGCAGTTTTTGTTCGTGTCAGAGAACGGCGGTAGCTGTGGAGATGCTCGAGCCACAGCTGGCGGTGGACTGTCAGGCCAGTTTTCCGTCATCTGCGCTCAAGCAGCCAGGTTTGGGTTTTTTAGGCAGCGGAGATGGTTGTTGTACCAGGGGGATCGGGAGGGGTTTGGAGATGCTCCTGGATTTCAGGGGGACGAGGGAGTTGAAGGTGGAGGAGAGGCGATCATGGAGCAGCTGGATGGCTGCTTCAGGATCTCCGCTGGTGGGATAGGATGTTTGATGATGCGAGGGACTTTGTGAGGGTCTCAGGGGGTAGCTTTTTCCAAGGGCGGTGGAGGATGGTTGAGGACTTGGTGGCAGAGAGAGGGATGTGAGAGGAGAAGGAGATGAGGAAGTAGTCCGAGATGGCCTTGTCCACTATGCTGAGGTCGGAAATGTCAAGGCCATGGGTGATAATGAGGTCAAGGGCATGATCACGGTTGGGGCTAGGTGAACTTATATGAAGCGTGAGGTTTAGGGAGGAGAAGAGGGCAGTGAAATCGGCAGTAGTCCAAGGGGAGTTTAGGTGGAGGTTGAAATTGCCCATTATGAGCAGGCGCTTGGAGCAGAGGGACTGGGAAGAGAGGAGAGTAGAGATATCTGTGTGGAAGGAGCCGGGGGGCTTGTGGTGGGGGGGTAGACAAAGAGGATTTTTAATGGGAGAGAGGGGTAGAAGAGGGTGAGGTGCTCGAAGGAGGGGAAGCAGCCAAGGAGTAGGGGTAAGACCAATGGAGGCTTTGGAAATGAAGGCCACCCCGCCACCACGTTGGTTTGGACAGGGGGGTGTAGTGGAAGGTGTAGGGGAGACTTCCACTAGGGGGACGGGGTCATTGGGGGAGAGCCAGGTTTCAGTGAGCCCAAGAATGTCAAGCTGGTCATCCAGGATGAGGTCGTGGATGGTGAGGGCTTTATTTGAGAGGGAACGGTATCTCTGGGCAAAGGTAGCTCCTCAAATAACTTGTGACGTGTTTGGATTCCGGTCTGTGGTGGTCTTATTAGTCCAGTTCCTGAGCCAGGCGGGTCCACAGTACTCCATGACACTGCCGATCACAGCACAGTCAGCCTGGCCCATCAGCAGGACTTGGAAAGGCAGACCAACCAGTCACTGGGGGCAGGGAGTCATCTCAGTCAACTCCTGTTAACCCTGCAGGCTTTAATATCCATTGGGAGAAGTGGGAATGAGGAATGTGCCTTTGGTCTCCCTCCTAACTCTCTGCCTTCCCTCACCCCTACACCACCCCTCCCCCATGCTCGGGCCCCGACACCTGACTGTTCAGCACTTTGGGACATTCTCCCGACGTAAGAGGCGCTCTATAAATGTAATGTTGTTGTTGTTGAAGCAGCTCTGTTGTATTGTTAAGGTGCTAAAGGCTGTTGTGTTCACGCAGGTATTGTACTGGTTGCTATTAATCCTTACGAGCAGTTGCCAATATACGGAGAGGATGTCATCTACGCTTACTCCGGTCAGAACATGGGAGATATGGACCCTCACATCTTTGCTGTGGCTGAGGAAGCCTACAAACAGATGGCCAGGTCAGTCCTCTCGGGTGGTGGTGCGGGATGGATGGATGGATGGAGGGATGGTGCATGGATGCCGTGACACTTAGATTGGAGTCCTGTAGCGTATTGGTTAGATCACTTGCCTTGCAAGCGAGAGGACCCAGGTTTGAATCCCGGGCCGGGGGAAATCTTAGGCAAGTTTCCTTACCCCACACGTCTGTGTACGTAGCAGTAAGCAGCTGTTAGTCAGTTGGCGGATCGCTTTCTGGGAATAATAATTCTTCCCCAAAAAATGTGTTGTATGCAATTAGCTGCCGTGTTTCACCCACAGAATACCAGTCAATCCACTTTATAGCATATTCTGTGAAGTAAGGATTATTATTATTATCTGGTTGGGCGAGGGGGGAGCTGCTCATTGACTGATATCTCTCCCCCACCCCCACCCCACCACCCCAGGGATGAAGGAACCAATCTATCATTGTGAGCGGGGAGTCTGGTGCTGGGAAGACAGTCTCGGCTAAGTATGCAATGCGGTTTTTCGCCACTGTGGGCGGCTCTGTCAACGATACGAGCATCGAGGAGAAGGTCCTAGCCTCCAGCCCGATAATGGAGGTACAGTTTATAAAGTGATTTATTGTGGAGTCCCGTAGAGTATTGGTCAGCGCGCTCACTTCGCAAGCGAGAGGACCCGGGTTCGATTCCTGGGCAGGGCGAAACCTTAGTCAAGTTCCCTTACTCCACACGCCTCTGTTTACTTAGCGGTAAGTAGGAACCCGGTTGTCAGTCGATTGGCGGTTCGCTTTCCAGGGGTAATAAGCTCTCAAAAAAAATGTGGTCACTCATTCCACGACTCTTTGTGGGACATTGCTGTGCGCAATTGGCTGCTGCATTCTCCCACAAAATACAATCAATCCTCTTTGCAGTATATTCTGTGAAGCGCTTTGAGACGTCTGAACGACATGGTCAAGCGACATCAAGTGCAAGAATTATTATTATTATTTATTCAGAGCGATGCTGATAAAGTCCCACATTGGGGACATTGAGCTCACAGTATAGGCTGATGCCATTAAAGATCCTGCAACAGAACAACAACAATTTGAGCACTTCACTCGGGGCAGCGTCTCAGAGCGCTTAAATACTGTAAAAGAGAAGAGAGTTTTTACGGGTTTCCTGGCCAGCAATTCTTGGCCATTTGCGGGGACATTGAGTTGCACAAATTTGCTACCGAGTTTGCTCACAAAACATACGGTGGCCGCACTTGACAGTAAAAATCCGGGGGAACTTCTTTGAGACGTCCTCCCGATCTGAAAATTACTGCATAAATATAAATTCTTGTTGGTTTGGAAGCTGGTCTTTGAAGAAATGCAGAGAACAACAACTTGCATTTATGTTGTGCCCTCTCTGTGGTGTCCCAGAGAGTTTACTCCCAGAGAAATAGTATCGCTGGTCCCACAGCCAAAGTCCCCACCATTTTGTTGCTGTTCCTGATCTGCTTTTCCACCGCAGTCCATTGGGAATGCCAAAACCACCAGGAATGACAACAGCAGCCGCTTCGGGAAGTACATCCAGATTGGCTTCAACCGACAGTATCACATCATCGGAGCCAACATGAGGACGTACCTGCTGGAAAAATCCCGTGTGGTTTTCCAGGTCAGTGCCAGGGCTCAGGGTCTCGTTGTTTGTGGGTGGAGTTCTGTACCAAAGTGGTTAGCACGCTCGCCCTCGCAAGCGAGAGGACACAGGTTCGAGTCCCGGGCTGGACCAAACCTCAGGCAACTTTCCTTACTCCACACGCCTCTGTTTACCAGCAGTAAGTAGGATCCCGGTTGTTAGTTGATTGGCGGATTACTTTAAGGGTGAAATAATCCCTTCAAAAAACAATAAATAATAATAATTTGGTCACTCAATCCACGGCTGCTTGTGGGACGCTGCTGTGCGCAATTGGCTGCTGCATCTCGCCCACAAAATATACAGTCGATTCACTTTACAGCATTTTCTGTGAAGCGCTTTGAGACGTCTCAAAGACGCGATCAGGCGCTTTATCAAATGCGAGGATTATTATTATTATTATTGTTATTATTGTTATTGTTGGGGCCTTTCTTGGTGTCATCACGAAATCCAGTTTGATCTCTTCCCAAGGAGACGATGAAAAACTGTCACCTGCATTGAGGTATCTCTCCTGATGGCTTTGAAGCCGTTTGTGAGGCATGGTGTTGAGCTCTAAAGTGGTCACTAGATGGCACCAATGAGGTATCTCCGTTGCCTCTCTGTCAGAAGGTTGTGGGTTCGAGCCCCATGTCGGACTTGGACCTCGTAGGCCAGTGGTGGCCAACTTTTTTGGCTGGTCAGCAAAATAATCATTGAAGTAACAGTTGTGCCCTAAATTCAATCAAGAAACATTTGTCCTGGCCAACAATCCCCCAAATACAATTGGTCGCTCACTCCATGGCTGTTTGTGGGGCATTGCTGTGCGCAAACTGGCTGCCGCGTCACACCCACAAAATACCCAGTCAATCAATCCACTTTACAGTATATCCTGTGAAATGCTTTGAGACGTCTCGATGATGCGACAAGGCACTATTGTGGAGTCACGTAGCTCCACCTAGAACACTCACCTCGCAAGCGAGAGACCTGGGTTCTATTCTATTCAACTGCAAGGATTATTTATTATTATTATTATTATATCCACTGCAAGGATTATTCATTCTTTTTATTATTTATTTTTGTGGGCCAGCCAAAACTTTAATCGGTCATTTTCTCTCTTGTCCAGGCTGAAGAGGAACGGAATTACCATATTTTCTACCAGCTGTGCGCCTCCGCCAATCGCCCCGAGTTGAAAGAGCTTCGGCTCAGTAAGTCAGCACGTCGCAGCGTTGCACAATCACGCGCTCGCTGGCTCACACGCTGGCGCACCACATTCTACGTAGGAATCCGGTTGTCAGTCGATTGGCGGATTGCTTTCCGGGGGGGTAACCAAACCCTCGAAAAAAAATCCGGTCGTTCAATCCACGACTGTTTGTGGGACGCTGCTGTGGCTGCCGTATTTTGCCCACAAACCACAGTCAATCCACTTTGCAATATATTCTGTGAATTGCTTTGAAACGTGTCAACGACGTGATAAGGCGCTGTTGTCAAATACAAGGAATATTATTCCCACTGCCCCCATGCGCTTCTCTTGTACCAACTTAACTCAAAATACCCGATCGCTCTTGCCCTGTTGTAACCCCTTTGCAACTTGGAGAAACCCTTAGCTCTGGGGTTCGGGATGGATAGAGATAAGCCAAACTGCTCAAGGCTCTTAAGAACATCTCCCTGTTAACATCTCGGTGACTCTCCAGGGTGTCCACAAAGTCCTGTTACCCTTCCTATGTTTATTTTCTACAATGCACACTGACCAACAAGAAACCTGTGGAAGAATGATGCTAATTGTATTTAGAAATATATCATTATATTCAGTGTTTGACTGTATTAGGAAGTCCGGAGGATGAATGTGAGTGTGTGTGAGTGAGTGCCATTATTTTCCTGGCAGATGATCACCCATTTCCACGTTCGGTCTACATCTTCCGTAACATGGATGGAGTCAGTGAGGAGGAGAAATGCGTCTCTGATAGCTTGTTTCAGCTCCTCAGTCGTCTCCCGAAAATAATAATTTCTTGTAAGAGACTAGAAAAAAAAACTGGGGGCAACAGGACTTTGTGAACGCTGCACCATTCCCATTGATTTTTTTTACATTCAGGGGATGTGAGCGCCACAGGAATGATGATCGTTTAAGTGATGTACAACAGCCATTATTGTGAGATTAGTGTTCAGGCTGTGCCTGTTATTGCGTCCAATTTTCCATTCGTATTCGGGAGCGAGAGGGCGAGAGAGCGCATCTCGCCTGTGCCAACACGAGTCTGTGAATGTCTTACGTATCGCTTGGACTCGATTTCCCCTTCAAGATCAACGTCTTGACCTCCAGTCACTACACTCTAGTTTTTTTTTAAATCCTATGAAGCACTTTGAGCAGCGCAGTATTGATTGCAAGATTGTTGTGTTTTATTATCATTCAAACCTTACTGAAGACGTTTTATGGCACAGCCCATTTAATCAATGATTTGAAAAACATCCCAGTACGAGACAGATTTAAAACTGGCTTAGCTGAGGACTGGAGGTTCCTCAGAGCATTTTTGATGCCTCATTCATTAGTAAAGAAAGGCAGTTGGGCATCTGCCACATTCATCACACTGTCCTTGAGACGATCCAAACCAAATTGAGATGCACAGTGTATCGCCACCTACGCATGCGCAAATTGTCTACAGATGCACAGTCACTACACTTTACAGTGAATCCTGTGAAGCTATATGAGACAATTCGACAGAATAATAATTATTAATAATAATCCCTCCAAAAAAACAAAAACAATAATTAAATTGGTCATTTTCAATCTACGACTGTTTGGGGGACATTGCTGTGCGCAATTGGCTGCCGCGTTCGCCCACAAATATACAGTCAATTCACTTTACAGTGTGTTCTGTGAAGTGCTTTGGGACGTCCTCCCGACGTGAAAAGCACTATATCAAATGCAAGGATTATTATTATTATTATAGAATAATGAGTCCCTGCATCAAATGCAAGAATTATAATGTTTCCTGTTAATTCACAACATTTAAACTGAGGAAGTATCTCTTTCTCTAATTGTCTCTTTCTACATCTGTCTGGTCTATTTCTCTCTCTCCATATATACATATAAAACTTTTTTTAATTTAGCACAAAAGCACCATTGCAAAGTGCTGCAAAGGTGTGTGACACAATGAGACACAGACAGATAAGAGCAGTATAGAAATTAGTTGCAAAGCTTTTCCGGTGGTAATAATCCCTTGAAAAATATAATCAAAATTATAATAATAACTTGGTCACTCAATCCACGACTGTTTGTGGGACGCTGCTGTGCGCAATTGGCTGCCGTGTTTCACCCACAAATACATAGTCAATTCACTTTACAGTATATTCTGTGAAGCGCTTTGAAACGTCTCGAAGACGCGATAAGCCGCTATGTCAAATGCAAGGAATATTGCATTGCATTGCATTGTGGAGTCCAGTAGCTCAGTGGTTAGAGCACTCGCTTTGCAAGCGAGAGACCTGAGTTCAATTCCAGGCAGAGGGCGAAACCTTGGGCAAGTTTCCTTACTCCACACGCCTAATAATAATCCCTCCAAAACAAAACAATAATAAATTGGTCATTTTCATCCACGGCTGTTTGTGGGACTGCTGTGCGCAATTGGCTGCCGCGTTCGCCACAAATATACAGTCAATTCACTTTACAGTGTGTTCTGTGAAGCGCTTTGGGACGTCCTCCCGACGTGAAAAGCGCTATATCAAATGCAAGGATTATTATTATTATGGTTATCTCTATGTCTCTTATTCTGTCTTTCTCAAATCTTTCAGTCTCCCTCTCTCTCTTTTTTAAGTGCCTGATCTATAAAGCGGGTGGATTTGAGCCAAAGGAGTGCGTGTCTGTGAGGCCAAATCCCCTTTGTGTTTGCATAAGTGCAGCTGGGGGAGATGGAGGACAGAAAGGGGACTTTTCCTACAAAACCTTAAACAATGGACATCACACAAAGCAAGGGAAGGCAGTCAAGGACAAGCACATGCACTTAGGATGAGTAATAATCGCACCTCTCACCTCAGTGCCTCAAAGCACTTCACAAATACTTGCTGTCTGGTGTAGCTACTGTGTAGACCTTTTGTGGGCAAAGGCATCAACCAGTTTGCTGGTAGCAATATCCCGCAAACAGTTGTCAAGAGAATGACCCATTTATCTGGAGGATTGCTGGCCAACCCACTGGAAATATCCACTAGAGGCTCGGGATTGCTAATGTGAGCTGGCAGGCGAGTGCTGCATTTAGCATCTCATCCAGTAATTTGAGTTAGATATGATAAATATTTTAGGGAGAGAGTGATAGAGCGCATTCCATCCCAACAAACTATCTCTGGGATTTCCACGTGTAGGTGGATGTATGGAATTCTCTGTTTGGTTTGGGTATTTAGCGAGGCTGGCTGGCTTGTACCAGTGGTACCTTGGATTACTTACTATTGACTTGCCTGGCTCAGGAACCTTACGACCTAGACCACCACAATTCTGATATTACTAACATAATAACCTTGCCAAGTGTGTCACCTCGGAGCCAGTTCATATGAAGGAAATAATATAAATGCAAGTGGTGGTGGTGGTTGTTGTGGAGTATCCAAATAAATGGATAAATACAACAACAACTTGCACTTATATAGCGCCCCTCAGACATGGTAGTGTCCCAGAGTGTTTGACAATGGCGGAGCACGACTCTGAGCCGGGATGAGGGGGAGGTGACCGTAGACACGGTCGAACAAGGAAGGTCTTCAGGCGCGACCTGAGAATGGGGAAGGAAGGGGAACGGCGGACGGACAGAGGAAGAGTGTTCCTGAGTTTTGGGGCATAGTGGCTGAAAGCGCGGCCACCAATGGTAGAACGGAGGGCACAAGGGACATGCAGAAGCCAGTCGAGTGGAGACAGAGGATAGTGGGTTGGGGGGTAAGCAGGTCGGAGAGGTAGGGAGGTGCCAAGGCATGAAGGGATTGAAAAAAAAAGTGTGCGGATCTTGAAATCGACCCATTTGGTGATGGGGAGACAGTGGAGCTTGATTAGAACTGGTGTGATGGGGGAACGGAGGTTAGTGCGGGTCAGTATGGAGGCAGCAAAGTTTTGGATAAATGACAAGGAAATGTCCCCATGTCTGGAATGGAATGTGCGCTCTCTCCTCATACTTACCTCATTCCAAACAGGATTAGGTGAAGTTTGTCAAGAGTGTGAAGAGTATTAGCTGTAGGATGGCTTGAGGACCCCACACAGTGACTTGGGTTAGTGCCAGAGTTTTAACCAGCTAAACCTTTTTCTCCCGAAACCCTCTTGTGTGATGTCTTGTGTGATAACTGTGCCTTATCCTCTTTCAAGGCAGTGCAGAAAATTATTTCTACACGACCCAGGGAGGAGGTGTGTTAATAGACGGAGTCAACGATGCCAAGGATTTTGAAAACACCTGGAACGCCTTAACTCTACTGGGTAAGGAAAAGTTTTCAGCATCCCAAAGGGGGACACCAACATCTTACATTTTTATGGATATTATATATGATGTACATTATTATGTTTTATTACATTATATATTTCAAAGCACTCCATCCATAGTAACGGGCTTGGATACTGAGTAAGGGGAAGGGCCGTATGCCAGGTAGAAGAGGTAGGTTTTAACTTGGGATTTAAAGATTGAAAAAAAGATTGAAAAAGTTCCTGTAGCTTAGTGCTTAGGCACTCGCCTCGCAGGCGAGAGGACCTGGGTTCGATTCTCGGGCAGAGCGAAAACTTGGACAAGTTTCCTTGGTTCACACGCCTGTGTTTACCTAACAGTAAGTCGGAACCCGGTTGTTAGTCAATTGGCGGATCAGTTTCCAAGGGTAATAAGAATCACTGATGGTGGTGCCGAGGGGATGAAAGGACATACTGTAGGCCTGTGTTAGTTGGGGGGGTGGGGGGAAGAGAGTGGTGAGCTGAGGAGTGGGGTATGAGGAGATTGGGAGGAGCTCGGGCAACAGTGAATGAATCATTGAGACGTCCTCCTGACGTGAAAGACTGTATCAAACGCGAGTGCTGATGGATGGTTGATGGTGACCCGGGGCCTTTCTCTCTGTCCCTCAGGTGTGAAAGAGTCTCACCAGATGGGCATCTACAGGATCATCGCCTCCATCCTCCACCTGGGAAACGTGCAGATTGTGTCCGAGAAGGACGGAGAAAGCTGCTCCATTCACGTAAGTCACTGTCAGGAGGGGAAGGAAGGGCTCAGTGTGCCAGAGATACGACAGTCATGGACATCAACAACTTGCATCGCCTTGGAGCGCTAACGGGGGCAGAGCCTGACGCTAAGCCGTGGGGAGAGAGGAGGTGACCCTAAGCATGGTCAAAGAGGAAGGACTTGAGTCATGATCTAAAAGAGGAGAAGGAGGGGGCAAGGCGGAGGGATTGAGATCCAAGGCTTCGGGGCGTAGTGGCTGAAAGCACGTCCACTGATGGTGGAGTAGGGGGGATGAGAAATAAGCAGGAGGCCAGAGACAGTCGAGCGGAGGGTGGGAAGAAAGCAGGGCAGAGAGACACACTTGTAAATATTATGCACACAGACCTTGCTGTTTGTGAGACACTGCTGTGCACAAACTGACTGCCGTGTTTTGCCCACAAAATCACAGATCATCAGTAAATCCTGTAAAGCGCTTTGAGACGCTCAACAACGTGATAAGATAATAATAATAATATTTAATCCTTCCATTTGGTATAGCGTCTTATCACGTCTTCTAGACGTCTGTCTCAAAGTGCTTCAAAGAATATACTATAAAATGAATTGACTATATTCTGTGGGCGAAACGCGGCAGCCAATTGCGCACAGAAGTGTCCCACAAATAAGCGCGGATTGAGTGACCAAATTATTGCTTTTTTTTTGTGGGACTGTTATCCCCAGAAAACCGATCCACCAATCGACAAACAAGCGGGTTCCTACTGCTCGGTAAACAGAGGCGTGTGGCGTAAGGAAACTTGCCCAGCCTTTCCCAGCCTGGGAATCGAATCCAGACCTCTCGCTTGCGAGGCGAGTGCTCCAACCACTGAGCTGCAGGACTCCAGTAGCTTACGGTGATATATCAAATGCAAAGGATTATTATTGTTCTCTCTCTCTCTCTCTCTCTCTCTCTCCAGAAGGAGGATACAACCCTGAGTGACTTCTGCGAGTTGCTGGGGTTGGAGCAAGACCAGATGAGGCATTGGCTGTGTCACCGTAAACTGGTCACTACGTCGGAGACCTATGTGAAGAACATGAGCAGCCAGCAGGCCCTGAATGCCAGGAATGCCCTGGCCAAACACATCTACGCTCAGCTCTTCAACTGGATCGTAGAGCAGATCAACAAGGCCCTGCACACCAACATCAAGCAGCACTCCTTCATCGGGGTGCTGGATATATACGGGTATAGTGACCTGTTTGCTCCCTCCGCTCATCAGGCTCTGGTCTGCTCCATTTTCCCCGCCCGGCACGCCCCGCCATCAGCGGTCATGCCTTTAGCCTACGCTTTCGAACTCCATCCCACAGTCCCTCCGTCTCGCTCCCTCCCTTCAAGGCACATCTCAAGCACCTTAGGTCACCCCTCCTGCCCCCACCCTCCCTGCCCTCCACCCCCTCCTGATCCCAACCAGCAGCTCAGATTCAAATCCCTGACTGTCCAGCGCCTTGGGACGTCCTCCCAACGTGAAAGGTGCTAAACACGTGTCATTGGTTGTTGTTGATTTTCACCACAGGTTTGAAACATTTGAGATCAACAGTTTTGAACAGTTTTGCATCAACTACGCCAATGAGAAACTCCAGCAACAGTTTAACCTGGTAAGAGACGGTGTGAGTCAGTGTGTGTCTCACAGTGTGTGTGTATATCTCTGTGTGTTGTATGTCTCTCTATGTGTGCATGTGTGTGTGTCTCTGTGTAAGTCTCTCTATGTGTGCATGTCCCTCTGTAAGTGTGTACAGCTGTGTGTGTGTGTGTGTATCTGTGTGTGTGTGAGACCTCTCTATATATATATATGCATCTTGTGTCCTCACTGTGACACTCACTGTCCCATCTCTTTGCAGCACGTGTTCAAACTGGAGCAGGAAGAGTACATGAAGGAGCAGATCCCGTGGACGCTGATTGATTTCTACGATAACCAGCCGTGTATCGACATGATCGAGGCCAAACTGGGTATCCTGGACCTGCTGGACGAGGAGTGTAAGGTACAGGACAGAGGCTCCCTCACGAACGTCTGAATCAGAAACTCAGAAACCAGACATTGCCTTCGGCTGCCACTCTAGTGCAGGGCTGGGGGTGGCGGGGGAGGCAGGAGGGGGGGTGGAGAACTGCATTGACGGCTCGAGCTGCTGTCCTTTGGATGGGATATTAAAAAGTCTGTGGTAAAACGCTATGTAAATGCAAATGGACCCTCGCTTGCACTCTGTCTCTTTCTCTCCCTCACCCGCTGTCTCTCGCTCACCCACTGTCTCGCTCACTCTCTCTCTTTCCGTCTCTCTCTCTCTCTCTCTATCAAAACCCGCTCTCTCGCTCGCTGTCTCGCTCACTCTCTCTCTTGCTGTCTCTCTCTCTCGCGCGCGCTCTCACTAACATTGAGTTCCTGGTGTAATATCCCAGCCAAAGACCGTGCTTGCGTTCACCTCCCGCTCCCCCCGGCTCGGGGTCAGACTCCGCCACTGTCCAGCGCTCCGGGACGCTGCCCGGCGTGAAGGACGCTACATGAATGCAAGTTGTTGTTGCTGTTGTACTATCAGGTGCCAAAGGGCTCGGAGGAGAGCTGGGCCCAGAAGCTGTATGACAGACACACCAGCAGCCCACACTTCCAGAAACCCCGCATGTCCAACATGGCCTTCATCATCATCCACTTCGCAGATAAGGTGGGTGTTCTCCTGTTCGGTTTCCGCCCAGGGGTGAGTACTGTGATATGGAAACCCCATTGCGGGTACAAATATCCCCCGGTTTGGGTGCAAAGGCCCTCCTGGACGGTGGCTGAAGGTTTGCCCAACAGTAGACTGGTTTGGGTTCAGCCGGGGTGTCTGACACACGGAAACCCATCACCGTGATTAAGAGTCTCCAAACCAAGGTGACCCACCTACCACAAAATGCACAGTTCAATTCCAGGCAGAGGCGAAACCTTGGGCAAGTTTCCTTACTCCACACAGAGCCTAATAATAATCCCTCCAAAACAAAACAATAATAAATTGGTCATTTTCAATCCACATTTGTGGGACATTGCTGTGCGCAATTGGCTGCCGCGTTCGCCCACAAATATACAGTCAATTCACTTTACAGTATATTCTGTGAAGCGCTTTGGGACGTCCTCCCGACGTGAAAAGCGCTATATCAAATGCAAGGATTATTATTATTATTATTAGTCACTACACTTTAGAGTATACTCCATGAAGGGTTTGGAGACGTTTCAACGACGTGATAGGACACTCTATCAAATGCAAGGATGATTATTAAGGAGTCCTGTGGCTCAGTGGTTAGAGCACTCGCCTCGCAAGCGAGAGACCTGGGTTTGATTCCCGGCAGGGTGTGAAACCGAGGGCAAGTTTCCTGACTCCACACGTCTCTGTTTATCTGGCAGGAACCCGATTGATGGATCGCTTTTCTGGGGGTGATAATTCCTTCGAAATCAAAAAAAAAATAATAAATTGGTCACTTCAATCCACGACTGTTTGTAGGGCACTGCTGTGTGCAATTGGCTGCCGTGTTTCGCCCACAAAATATAGAGTCACTACACTCTACAGTATATTCTGTGAAGCGCTTGGAGACGTCTCAACGACGTGATAAGGCGCTATATCAAGCACCCGGATTATTATAATTATTATAATTATTATGGTCTTCTCTGCCCCAGGTGGAATATCAGTGCGACGGTTTCCTGGAGAAAAACCGGGACACAGTGTACGAGGAGCAGATCAACATCCTGAAGGCCAGCAAGGTACAGTTCTGTCCATATCCCCAGGCCGGCTCTCAAAATGGCCTCCGCCTTGACCTCCCGACAGGCAGTCACTCCTCTCTGTGGGAAATTTCCTGGAGACGTCTCGGCAAAGCGATAAGACGCCACGTCCTAATGCAGGGGTTACTCTAGGCACTCCTATGTCCCCCCCGCCACCGCGCGCAGGTCATCTCCTCCAACCTTCACTGCGAGGAGATGCTGGATTTCCTTGAATCCAAAATCAAGGGAATTCGCTCCGCGGTCACTTCTCCTCCAACAGCCACCCACCCCCCACCCCCTCCCTCCCACACTCCGACTCCTACCCATCCTCCCCTACACACTTTCGTACCCGTTTCCCCACCCTCTGTCACCAAACTCATCCTATCCCTGAAACCCACCACCTGCTCCCTTGACCCCATCCCCACTCCACTCCTTATCTCCCAGCTCCACCTCCTTGCCCCACATATCACAGACATCGTCAACCTGTCCCTCTCCTCTGGCTCTGTTCCCATTCCCTTAAAAACTGCCATCATCACTCCCACCTTAAAAAAACCCTCCCTTGATGCGTCGCAGCTATCAAGCTACCGGCCCATCTCCAACCTCCCCTTCCTGTCCAAGGTCCTGGAACGAGTTGTCGCCTCCCAGCTGCGCTCTTTCCTCTCCACCCATTCATTATTCGAACCCCTTCAGTCGGGTTTCCGTGCTGCCCATAGCACAGAAACTGCCCTGGTCAAGGTCACCAATGACATCCTGACCATCTGTGACCAGGGCTCCCTCTGCCTCCTCGTCCTCCTCGACCTATCGGCAGCATTCGATACGGTCGACCACGCTATCCTACTCCACCGCTTGTCCTCCCACCTCAACCTTCAAGGCACTGTCCTTGAGTGGTTTAGGTCGTACCTTTCTCACCGTCTTCACTTTTTTCCACAAATGGTTTTTCCTCCACCCCCCGCACTGTCTCGTGCGGTGTCCCTCAGGGCTCTGTCCTCGGTCCCCTCCTCTTCACCCTCTATATGCTCCCCCTTGGTGACATCATCCGCAGACATGGGGTTAACTTCCACATGTATGCGGATGACACCCAACTCTACCTTTCCTCCTCTACCCTCAACTCCACGACCACCGATGTCCTGACAGCTGCCTGTCCGACATCGAGTCCTGGACGAGAGACAACTTTCTTCAGCTCAACGTGCGCAAAACTGAGGCCCTCCTGATTGGCTCACGTCAGCGCCTCCGCACCTCAGGCGCTGACAGCATCAGCATCCAAGGCTGCACTCTCCACCTCTCAAAGCCATCAGGAACCTCGGGGTTCTGTTCGACCCTGAGCTGTCCTCTCTCCCTCATATCTACGCCACAACTGGCACCGCCTTCCATCAACTCCGGAATGTCGCCAGACTACGGCACTCCCTCACGCGGCTGAAACTCTGGTCCACGCCTTTATCACCTCAAGGCTGGACTACGGGAACTCTCTCCTCGCCGGCCTTCCCGGTACCTCCCTCCACATTGCTGGTCATTCAGAACTCTGCAGCTCGTGTACTGTCCCGCACCAGGCTTCGGACCACATCACTCCCACCCTCGCTCGCCTCCACTGGCTCCCCATCCCCCAGAGGATCGAATTCAAGATCCTCATCCTCACCTACAAGGCCATTCACGGCCTTGCTCCCTCCTACCTCTCCGACCTACTATCCCCCTACCTACCTGCCCGTACCCTCCGTTCCTCTGGCTCCGGTCTGCTCCACATCCCCCGCCCCAACCGCCCTACCATCGGTGGCCGGGCCTTCAGCCTCTCAGCCCCGAGGCTCTGGAACTCTATCCCCCAGTGCCTTCGCCGCTTCCTCCCTTTCCTCCTTCAAGGCCGGTCTCAAGACCTTTCTCTTTGACTGTGCCTTCAGCTCCCCTCTCGACTCTCTACCCCCTCCTCGCTCCTTCCCTTCCCCCCCCTCACCCTGACCATTTCCCCAATGCTCGGGTCCTGACCCAACTGTACAGCGCCTCGGGACGTCCTCCATAAATGGAATCTTGTTGTTGTTGTTGTTTACCGCAACTCCTTGAGCCGTCTCAACGACACGATAAGGTGCTTTATTGTGATTCACCGCCCTGTCCTTGCCCTCCACTCTGCAGGAACATGCCCCTCGCCCGGCCCGGACCCCCCTGCCCCCACCCTCTGGAACTGTATCCCAGAGCCCCTCCACCTCGCCCCCTCCCTCACCCTCTTCAAGGTCCATCTCAAGACCTTCCTACCCCCCTTACCCTCCACCCGATTCGGACCCCAACCAGAAGGTTGTGAGTTCAAGCCCCGTGTCAGGACTGATTGTACAGTGTGACCAAAAAGTTGTGACAACTACCCCATTATCTGAAACAAATATCCTCATCTCTCTCTCTCTCTGTTTCACTCTGTGTGTGTGTCTCTCTCTCTCTCCCCCCCCTGCCCCCCACTCTCTCTCTCTCCTTTGCGCTCTCTCCCTGCCCTCTCTCTCATCCCGTCTCTCTCTCTCTCTCTCTCTACCCCCCCCTTCCCCGCGCTCTCTCTCCCCACGCTCTCACTCTCTCTCTCTCTCTCTCTCTCTCAGTACCAGCTGGTGGCGGACCTGTTCCAGGACGGGCGAGAGTCCTCGGGGACCATCATTGGGGGGAAAGGCAACAAGATCAACATTCGCCCATCCCGGCCGGTCCTCAAAATCCCCAACAAAGAGCACAAGAAAACTGTGGGCCATCAGGTACTGCCCTCACCAACCACCTTCCTTTCTCACCTCACCTTCCACCTTCCTCAACCTCCTCCTCGCCTCCCTCTCCCTCCCTCGTCCCCTCCCAACTCAGGGTAAACCCCCCCCTCCCATGCCCACACTTCCTCCCTTCCCCCTCCCTCGCCCTCTTCTCCAACTGGGTACCCCCTCCTCTCCCTCACCACCCTTCCCTCCCTCATCCACCCCCCTCGCCTCTCCCCTCCCTCACTGGGTAACCACCCCCACCCACTCATAAACCACATGTCCTGATCACCTCTGGGATTGGCGTCTTATGATTTATTGCATTCCTCTCTGACGACCATTAAAAATAAACCTCTCCATCTTCCCCCCCCACCCCTTCTCTCCCCTCTTTCATTCCCTCCGCCCCTTTCACTCTCTTTCCTTCCCCGTCTCTCTTTTTTCCACTCACTCTCTTACCCGTCTCTGCTCTCCATTTTACTTTCCCCTCTCTTTCCTTTGCTCACTCTCTCTATATGCCTCTCTCTCTCCCTTCACCCTCTCTCTCTTTCCCCCTCTTTTTTTCCCCCTTCCCCCCCTTCCCTCGCTCTCTCTCTCTCTCTCTCTCTCTCTCTTTCCCCCCCATCTCTCTACCCCCCCTCTCTCTCTCTCCCCCCTCCTCCAGTTCCGTAACTCTCTGCACCTGTTGATGGAGACACTCAACGCCACAACTCCGCACTATGTTCGCTGCATCAAACCCAACGATGAAAAGCTTCCCTTCTCGTAAGTATCTTGAGTTTCTCTCCCGACCTGAATGGCGCTGTGTAAAATTATATTTATTACTGTCGCGCTTATCATTTAACTATCATTTAACCTAAACAGGCAGATGAGATGGGGCCTCAGTTTAATGTCTCATGTGGAAGGCCAGTAACTCTGACCACGCAACACTTCCCTCCTCGCTCTCGCCTCTTGAGTCAGAAGGTTCTGGATTTGCTCAGGGGCCGACACGCCAATGCGCTGCATTGTCAAAGGTGCCGTCCTTCAGATGAGTCGTTAAACTGAGGTCCCGTCTGCCTGTTCAGGTGGACGTTAAATATTTCTCTCTCTCTCTCTCGGTGTCCTGGCCAACAATCCCCCCGAGAAAAATCGGTCACCGTTTGTGGGGACGCTGCTGCGCGCAATCGGCAGCCGCGTTTCGCCCCCAAAATATACGGTCACGCTGCTTTACAGCGTATGCGGTGAAGCGCTTTGAGACGTCTCGAAGACGTGATAAAGCGCTGCATCAAATGCAAGCGCAGTATTATTATTAATATGAAAATCAACGCTGATGCTGGCAACCACGCCACTCGCTGACGGCCATTTTGCTCCCCTCGTCGCTATTGTTTATTCGTTTATCTTAACCTTGTCCCAGGTTTGACGCTAAGCGAGCTGTGCAGCAACTGCGAGCGTGTGGTGTGCTGGAGACCATCCGTATCAGTGCAGCAGGATTCCCTTCCAGGTGACTACCTCTCTGTCTCTCCCTCCTTCTCCCTAACTCCCCTCCAGGTAACTACTGCTCTCTCTCTGTCTCCCTTCTATCCCCAACTCCCCTCCAGATAACTACCTAACACTCGCCCCCCCTCTCTCCAGGTAACCCACTTTCCGCTCTCCCTCCCTCCCTCCCTCCCTCCCTCGCTCTGTCTCCCCAGCTCACCTCCCCAACTCCCTCCTCTCCCCCTCCTCAATTCCCTCCTCTCCCCCTCCCCAAATCCCCTCCAGGTAACTAATGCCTCTCTCTGTTTCTCTCTCTCTCCCCTAACTCTCTCACTTTCTCTCTCCCCTCCAGGTAACTATCTCCCTCCATCTGAATATCTCTCTCTCTCCCCAACTCCTCTCCAGGAAATTATCTCCATCCCCTTCTCTCCCTCCCTAACTTTCTCTGTACCTCCCGCCCTTCCTCTGACCATCTCTCCTCCCTCCAGGTAATACCTCCCTCCCTTTTCCCCCCGCCACCCCTTTTCAGGTAACCCACTCTCCCATCCTCCCTCCATCTCTCTCTCTCCATCTCTCCCTCCTCTCCCTTCCCCAACACCCCTCCAGGTAACTATCTCCCTAACTCCCCTCCTCTTTCCTATCTCCCTCCCTCTACAATCCTGCTCCTCCCTACCTCTGCAACCTATTAAAACCGCCAACATGTCCGCTCCCTCTGCTCTGGACAGCTCCACCATCGGTGGTCGGGCCTTCAGCCTCTGGAACTCCATCCTTTGCCTCCTTTAAGGCCCGTCTAAGACCCTCATCGTTGACCGTGCCTTTGACCATGCTCCTAACCCCACTCTGCTTGCCGTCTGCTCACTGACCCCCAGCTCGGGTGCAAACCCCTCACTGTCGAACACTTTGGGACTTCCTTCCGATGTGAAAGGAAATTTATTGTTGTTAAAACTATTTTAGTGATTCCTAAAGATCATTGGAGATGATTCTAATAAACTCTGTACCTTTCTCTTCTAACTGTCTGTTTATTTATCTATCTTTTTCTCTCTCTCATTCTCTCTCTCTCTCTCTCTCTCTCTCTCACCAGGTGGACTTATCATGAATTTTTTCTCCGTTACCGTGTGCTGATGATGAAGAAGAACATTCTTCTGAATGATAAGAAGGAGACATGTAAGCGGCTGCTGGAGATTGTGGTCAAGGTAACGTGACTGGGTTTAACCTGCCGGGAGCCAAAACCTTCTGTGGTCACATTTACTCCGAGGGAAAGACAGAAATTGCCTTTTTTATTTTAATTGCATCGAAATGTCTCAAATTGCTTCACAGTAATTGCTTTCAAGTGCAGTGACTGTTATTTTGCGGCAAGCTGGCAGCCAAGCTAAGGTCCCTCACAGACCCATGAACTACCAGTTTATCTGTAGGATTGTCGGACGGGACAGTGGGGTAAAGCTGACCCTTCGCTGCAGGGGGTGGGGGGGTAAGGAAGGAGTTATGTTGTGTAGTGGTCAGCGCCCTCCCATCGCAAGAGGAGGACTCGGGTTTGATTCCAGGGCAGGGCGAAACCTTAGGCAAGTTTCCTTACTCCACACGCCTTTGTTTACCTAGCAGTAGTTAGGAACCCTGTTGTTAGTCAATTGGAGGATCGCTTTCCAGGAGTAATAACCCCTTCAAAAAAAAAATGTGGTCACTCAATCCACGACTGTTTGTGGGACGCTGCTGTGCGCAATTGGCTGCCGCGTTTCGCTCGCAAAATATACAGTCAATTCACTTTACAAAGCGCTTTGAAACATCTCAAAGACGTGATAAGGTGCTGTATCAAATGCAGGGATTATTATAATTAGGTCTTTGCTGATGTTCACACTCAGTGCTGGGTTCGGGGGCGGGGGGTGGGGAGCACTAGCAATTTTCTGTATGGATTAGTCTACAACGGAGGGTAAAGCTTTGGAAACCTTAGATCCAAAGTTGCCTAGTTTTTCCAGGCAACAACACTGACTATATGGAATGTCTCAAATTACTCATATACTGTATGTGCTGGGATTTCATTTGATACAGCGCCTTATCACGTCATTGAGACGTCTCAAAGCTCTTCACAGAATATACTGTAAAGTGGATTGACTGTGTATTTTGTGGGCGAAATGTGGCAGCCAATTGTGCACAGCAGCGTCCCACAAACAGTCGTGGATTGAGTGATTATTGGAGGGATTTTTACTCCTGGAACGCGATCCACCAATCGACTAACAACTAGGTTCCTACTTACTGCTGGATAAACAGAGGTGTGCGGAGTAAGTAAACTTGCCAAGGTTTTGCCCTGCGTGGTAATCAAACCCAGGTCCTCTCGCTTGCAAGCCAAGTGCTCTAACCGGTACGCTACAAGTAATAAAATATTATTTTCCAAAGAAATCTATCTGATTTGCATTTGATTGATTGAATGACAGGATCCGGACAAGTTCCAGTTTGGACGTACCAAGATCTTCTTCCGGGCGGGCCAGGTGGCGTACCTGGAGAAGCTGCGGGCAGATAAGTTCCGTGGGGCCTGTATCTCCATCCAGAAAACCGTGCGTGGCTGGCTCCAGCGATCCCGCTACCGGAGCATGAGGGCAGCGGCCATCAATATCCAGAGGCACGTTCGGGGACATCAGGCTCGCAGGTAAGGCTATCACCTTCCTGTCTCCCTCTCTCACCCACACCCACACATTCCTCCCCACTAACCCAGTGTGTCAGCCTGGGGCGATGGTAGCGCTCTCGCCCCCGAGTCAGAGGGTTGTGGGTTCGAGCCCCACATCGGGACGGATGCCATGTTTGAGAAGCGTTTGCGGGCCCGAAATTACAATATCTTTGTGTTTCCCTTCCAGATGAAATGAGGGGAGAGGGCAGGGGGCAGGGAGGGGGTGAAATAGATCTGCAGGTCGGGATCTTCAAAGCGCTTCACAGAACATTCTGTAAAGTGTACTGACTTGTGTATTTTGAGGCAAAACTCGGCGGCCAATTGCACACAGCAGTGACCCACAAACAGTCGTGGATTGAGTGACCAGATATTTTTTCTTTGAAGGGATTATTTACTCCCGGCAACCGATCCGACTAGTAACCGGGTTTCTGCTTACTGCTGGGTAAACAGGCGTGTGGAATAAGGAAATTTGCCTTACTCCACACGCCTCTGGTTTACGTCTAAGGTTTCGTCCTGCCTGAGAATCAAACCCGGGTCCTCTCGCCTGCGAGACAAGTGCTCTAACCCCTAAGCTACCACAATCCATGGCTGTTTGGACACAAAGATCCTTGGAGTCTCTCTTGCCCACACGCTAAACTCTCTCTCTCTCTCTTTCTCTCTCAGGTTGGCCGAGTCCCTGAGGCAGAGACGGGCGGCATTGGTCTTACAGAAACAATGGCGGATGCTCGCAGTGCGGACCCAGTACCTACAGCTGCGCTCGGCCACCGTCACGATCCAGGCTCACACCAGGGCCATGTTTGTCAGGAAGGTGTTCCGAGAGGTGAGGGAGGGAGGGGGAGGGTGGTTGGGGGGGAGGGAGGGGAGGGGGAGGAGTGTGGGTACTGGGAGTTGAGAGGGTAGGGGGAGGGCTTCCCATGTCCTCATTCTGAATCGAGGAACTTCATTGCACAACCGAGCGCTTGTGACCTTCGAGAAGGGTTAGGGTTAGTTGTGTTGATAGATGTGTGTCCACCTACTAAAACGTTACCAATCCACCCACTCCCTCCGCACAACGGGCACTGGCCTGCTCCATGTCCCCCGCCCTGCCCTGCCCTGCCTTGCCCGCTCTACCAACAGCGGCCGGTTCTTCAGGCTTTCTGCCCTACTTCTGCGCCCATCCATCCCGGAGCCCCTCGCCCTCTTTTAAACCCATCTCAAGACCCTCTATCCGATCGCGCCTTTGGTCATCACCCCCCCCCCTTGCTCTCCACCCCTCTTGACTCCAAACCCCCAGGTGAGCTGACCTGTGCTGTATCTCTCTTTCTCTCTCGCTGTCTCTCACACACACAGATGCTGAGGCAGCACAAGGCCACAGTGATCCAGCGCTGCGTGCGAGGCTGGCTGGCTCGGCGACGTTACCGGCGGTTGCGAGCCGCGGTGATTTACCTGCAGTGCTGTTGCCGGCGGATGCTGGCCAGGCGTGAGCTCTGCTCCCTGAAGATCGAGGCCCGATCCGTCGAGCACTTCAAGAAGCTGACGAGCGGCATGGAGAACAAGGTGGTGCAGCTCCAGAGGAAGGTGGACGATCAGGTGAGAGAGGCCATCCACACCCCTACACCTCACCCCTCCCTCATCCCACAGCCAAGGTTCCTGCTCCGGTTACAGCAGGGAGAGGTCAGGCCCCTTTAGAGTGAATGACCTGCCTGCCAAGCTAGGACCACCCTACCTGTTAGGACTTTAGGTTGTAGGATTAACAGGAGCCGAGTGGGATGTCTCCCAGTGACTGGTCGGCCTTTCCAGATCCTGCTGATGAGCGAGGCTGGGCTATACCGTCATCAGCAGTGAATACCCTGGAATACTCCGGACCCACCTGGCTCAGGAACTGGACTAGTCATACAGGGTTGACTCGATTCCGCCATTCTGTTGCCAACCGTGTCACCTTGGAACCAGCTCAGCCCCGAGGAGACCCAGCTTACCTCCCCCTCGAGGTTAAAATCCCTTTCCAAGGGCATCTCCCTTTTAAACCTCATGATCAATGCTCCCTCTCGGGCTGAACAACCCACATTTTCTTTGTAACCTGATGGCCGGGTTGAGCAGCTGCTTGAGGTCGACAGGCATTGAACATTACAGGATGTCAACAGCAACCTGGACCTTGGTCGACCATTTGGGTTCTCAGATGCTAAAAATGGCCACTTCCGGATCATCAGGTGATTGCAACTTCCTGTGTACTATGGCTATTCTTATGAGTTGGGATTTAATGGATCCGCGTTATAGCAGAATTCCCACTCACTGTGGAGTCCTGTAGCTTCGTGGTTGGAGCACTCGCCTCGCAAACGACAGGTCCCGAGCGGAGCAACATCTTAGGCACGTTCGCCTGGTTGTTAGTCGATTGACAGATCACTTTTCGGGGGTAATAATCCTTCAAAAAATATGATAAATAAATTGGGCGCTGTTTATGGGTCACTGCGATTGGCTGACGTGTTTCGCCCACAAAATATAGTCACTACACTTTGCAGTATGTTCTGTGAAACACTTTTAAGACGTGATAAGACGCTGTATGAAATGCAAGGGTTATGATTATTATAACCGAGCTCCACTCATTATCACAGTGTTATCATTGTGACCGTCTCTCCACAGAACAAGGATTACAAGACTCTGAGCGAGCAGCTGATCTCGGTGACCGGCGCCCACCACGTGGAGGTAGAGAAGCTGCAGAAGGAGCTGGAACGTCAGCGGGAGCTGAACGGGGACGGGAACGGGAACCGGGTGATCCCGCTCCAGGAGGAACTGGAGAAACTCCGCGCGCAGCTGGAGGAATCCCAGAGCCAACGCAAAATCCTGGCCGAGACCTACAGCAAGGAGAAGGGAGAACTTCAGCAGGTGCGCGGCCGGGAAACTGATTCATGTACAGTAACCCTCCCACTAAAACTACAGTTAATTCCCAGAGCGCTTGACTGTGGCGGAGCACGACGCTGAGCCTGGGGGAGGGGGAGGACAGTCGAAGAGGAAGGATTTGCAGCGTGACCTGAAGATGGGGAAGGAAAGGGGCAAGGCAGAGGGATGGAGGAAGAGTTTTCAGAGTTTCGGGGCGTAGTGGAACACTAACCTGCGTGAGGGGCGCTATACAAATGCAAGTTGTTGCTGTAAGTGCAGCCACCGATTGTGGAACTGAGGCCACAAGGGACATACTCACCAGGAAACTCATAGCGAGTTTCTGGTACCGAGTGGGGGCTCAAGCCTGTGCTTGTCGGATATATAATGACCCAACTAGTGGCTGTCCTCTTGGGGAGGAGGTTAGTTGGAGGTGTTGCTGATGAATAGCCCGTCCTGAGCCTGAGCTCAGGGCCTACCCTGTGTGAGAGGCGCTATATAATTGCAAGTTGTTGTTGACTGTCGGTGATTCAGTTTGATTGCTGTTAGGTTCGTGGAATCTGCGTGATCTCCTCGTAAATACATCTATCTGTTGTCATCACAGCTCGGCTGGCGGGGGGAATTGAGGTGGGGGAACAGGCTTAACAACAGCTTAGGAACCTTAACTGTTTTGGTTGGAGCGAGGAAGGGTTTCACTGGGGCTTTCACATTCAATAAGCTGGAGCTCGGAGATGGGATATCTGGGGTACAACAGAGCATTATGAGAAGCTTAGCAAGATAGAGGAAGTAGATCTCTTATCTTTCTGGACAAGCCAGGAACAGCCTGGATTCCCACACGCAGAGACTTTGGCAGACAGCTTTGTGGGTCAGCCAGTGACTGGTCTGCCTCAGCGACGCGGAAACACATCGCCGTGCTTAAACATCTCCAAACTACAGGGTGTTCACAAAATCCTGTTACTCCCCCGCCCCCCCCCCCCCACCTCTCCCCCACCCCTCCATGTTTTTTTTTCCGCACTACACAGTCGTTTCGCCTTCTTCCTTCCCTTGACTCCTTCAAGGCCCATCTCAACACACTTGTCTTCGACCACGCCTTTGGTCACCCTCCTACTCCTACCCTCCCTGGCCTTCACCCCTCCCGACCCCAACCCCCAGCTCAGGTCCAAATCCCTGACTGTCCAGCGCCTTGGGACATCCTCCCGACGTGAAAGTCACTGTACAAATGTAATTTGATGTTGTTGCACTGACCAACAACTGAAACACGTTGGAAGAATGTTGATAATTGTGTTTAGAAGAACGCAGTTGTATTCAGTACGAGTGTTTAAGTGTATTTAGACATCCAAAGGATGGGTGTGTGTGAGCGCGCCATTATTTTTATGGCAATAATGATCTGTTGCCATGTTTAATGTGACATCTAAAGCAACATGGATGGAGTCTGTGAGGAGGAAGTTACTGGTATCAGACTATGTTACACTTCAAACATCCGCAACCGAAAATAAAATAAAAATTCACTGCAAGAATAACAAACAAGAGGTGGGGGTAACGGGACTTTGTGAATACCCTGTACGCACAGGGTACCCTGTACCCTGACTGTGTGTGTTGTAAGTGAACGCAGCAGCCAATTTGCACACCCCAAGAACATTGAATGATCGATTGACCTGTTCCCGCCTGTTCAGGTGGACTTGAATAATCACTATGACTTTATTTGAAAAGACACCGGAGTTTCCTGGCCTACAATCTGCCAACTGAGCGGAAGGATTAATGATATTAGAATTATTTTGATAAAATCGGTCAGTCACTCCACGGTTGTTTGTGGGACATTGTTGAACGCTACTGCATTCACCCACAAAACACACAGTGATTACAATTTAAAAAGCATTCTGTGAAGCGCTTTGAAACTTCCTCCCACCCCGAAAGGCCAAAGGAAATGTTAAATGTTTCCTTTTTTTGCAATGTCTACAAAAGATGGAAGTGGGGTTGGAATTAATAATAATAATTCTTGCGTTTAATATAGCGCCTTATCACACGGCCGTCACAGAATGCACCGCATAGTGGAGTGACTGTGTATTTGGTGAGCAAAACGTGGAGGCCAATTTTTTTTAAAGTTGCCGTTTGTCAGTAAGCCTGGGTCTGTCTCCGTACTGACGGTGTGCGTGTGTGTGTGTGTGTGTGTGTGTGTGTGTCTGCAGCGGGTGCTGGACCTGGAACGGGAGAACACTCTACTCAAACATGAGAAGGAACAGCTGAACCGCAGTATCCAGAGCCAGTCCCAGGACGTCGTAGGTGAGCACACTCTCTCTCCCTCTCTTTCCCTCTCGGTACAAACTTGTTGTTGTTGTCCGATCGCCCCCCCCCCTCCCCCGGGCTATAACGCGACGTCTCTATGATGCAGAACAAATGAGCCAGCAGAGCGCGCGGGCGAGTCAGCAGGCCGAGCGGGAGCTGGAGGAGGAGCGATCGCGGTACCAGAACCTGCTGAAGGAATACTCCCGGCTCGAGCAGCGCTACGATAACCTGCTGGAGGAGGTCACACTCATCAAGGTAACCTGACCTGGCCTCGCGCACTCACCTGGGACCTCGCACGCTCACGGTCTGACACGCTCATGCCCTCGCACGCTCACGACTCTCTCACGCCCATAGCCGTTCTTCAAAATTGCTCAGCTGCCATCTTGAATTAGCAAGATGTTCTCTGTTACATGGCTGGGAATGAGGGGTGTGGATTGCATGTCTCCCCAATGGGTATCTTCCTCCTCCCTCCCCTCACCAACAACAACAACAACAACAAGATTCCATTTATAGAGCGCCTTTCACGTCAGGAGGACGTCCCAAGGCGCTGCACAGTTGGGTCATGACCCGAGCAGGGGGGAAATGGTCAGGGTGAGGGGAGGGAAGGGAGGGAGAGAGGAGGGGGAAATGGTCAGGGGTGAGGGGAGGGAAGGGAGGGAGCGAGGAGGAGGAAGAGAGGTCGAGAGGGGAGCTGAAGGCACGGTCAAAGAGAAAGGTTTTGAGACCGGCTTGAAGGAGGAAAGGGAGGAAGCAAGGCGAAGGCACTGGGGGATGGAGTTCCAGAGCCTCGGGGCTGAGAGGCTGAAGGCCCGACCACCGATAGTAGGGCGGTTGGGGCGGGGGACGTGGAGCAGACCGGAGCCAGAGGAACGGAGGGTACGGCAGGTAGGTAGGGGGATAGTAGGTTGGAGAGGTAGGAGGGAGCAAGGCCGTGAATGGCCTTGTAGGTGAGGATGAGGATCTTGAAATCAATCCTCTGGGGGATGGGCAGCCAGTGGAGGCGAGCGAGGGTGGGAGTGATGTGGTCCCGAAGCCTGGTGCGGGACAGTACACGAGCTGCAGAGTTCTGAATGACCTGCAGCTTGTGGAGGGAGGTGGCGGGAAGGCCGGCGAGGAGAGAGTTCCCATAGTCCAGCCTTGAGGTGACAAAGGCGTGAACCAGGGTTTCAGCAGCGTGAGGGGTGAGGTAGTGCCGTAATCTGGCGATATTCCGGAGGTGATGGAAGGCGGTGCCAGTTGTGGTGCGGATGTGAGGGAGAAAGGACAGCTCAGGGTCGAACAAAACGCCGAGGTTCCTGACTGGCTTTGAGAGGTGGAGAGTGCAGCCTTGGATGCTGATGGTGTCAGCGCCTGAGGTGCGGAGGCGCTGACGTGAGCCAATCAGGAGGGCCTCGGTTTTTTGCACGTTGAGCTGAAGAAAGTTGTCTCTCGTCCAGGACTCGATGTCGGACAGGCAGGCTGTCAGGACATCGGTGGTCGTGGAGTTGAGAGTAGAGGAGGAAAGGTAGAGTTGGGTGTCATCCGCATACATGTGGAAGTTAACCCCATGTTTGCGGATGATGTCACCAAGGGGAGCATATAGAGGGTGAAGAGGAGGGGACCGAGGACAGAGCCCTGAGGGACACCACATGAGACAGTACGGGGGGTGGAGGAGAAGCCATTCGTTGAGACGAAGTGAAGACGGTGAGAAAGGTACGACCTAAACCATTCAAGGACAGTGCCTTGAAAGTTGAGGTGGGAGGACAAGCGGTGGAGTAGGATAGTGTGGTCGACCGTATCGAATGCTGCCGATAGGTCGAGGAGGACGAGGAGACAGAGGGAGCCCTGGTCACAGATGGTCAGGATGTCATTGGTGACCTTGACCAGGGCAGTTTCTGTGCTATGAGCAGCACGGAAACCTGACTGAAGGGGTTCAAAAAGAGAATGGGTGGAGAGGAAAGAGCGCAGTTGGGAGGCGACAACTCTTTCCAAGACTTTGGAGAGAAAGGGGAGGTTGGAGATGGGCCGGTAGCTTGATAGCTGCGACGCATCAAGGGAGGGTTTTTTCAGGGTGGGCGTGATGATGGCAGTTTTTAATGGAATGGGGACAGAGCCAGAGGAGAGGGACAGGTTTATGATGTCAGTGATGTGTGGGACAAGAAAATGGAGCTGGGAGATAAGGAGTGGAGTGGGGATGGGGTCAAGGGAGCAGGTGGTTGGTTTTAGGGATAGGAATGAGTTCAGTGACAGAGGGTGGGGAAACGGGTACGAGGGTGTGTAGGGGAGGTGGGTTAGGAGTCGGAGTGTGGGAGGGAAGGGGTGGGTGGTGGGTGGAAGTTGGAGGGGAAGTGACCGCGGAGCGGATTCCCTTGATCTTGGATTCAAGGAAATCCAGCATCTCCTCGCAGTGAAGGTTGGAGGAGATGACCTGCGCGGGGTGGCGGGGGGGACGGAGGAGTCGGGATGTGGTGGAAAACAGTAGCCTGGGGTTGTTCTTCGCCTCCAGGATTATCCTGGAGTAGAAGGACGACTTGGCCGAGGCTAGAGTGGAGCGGTAAATTTTGAGGAGGTCCAGCCAGATTTGTCGGTGGACCGTTAAGCCGGATTTGACAAAGGTGCGCTCACCCCATGGGATAGTTCCCTTTCTCCAGTTGGGGCTTTTCCCCCCTCTCCCAATTTCAGGCCACTGGACTCAAAGCAGATTGAGGCTGGTTGTGGTGGGACGGTTAGGTGTGTGGTTCTGGAATGGGCCAAACTAATCTTGTGAGCTGCTTGTCTGGTTATACAGGGCCCTGGTCAGGACTCACTGCTGTGTCCCACTTTCACTGAGAGAGAATTCAAGATGGCCGATTGTGGTTGAGTGGCTGTCACTGTGGCTCAGCCCATGGTTTAGGGAACCATAGAAACCACTGATACGTTAAGCACAGAAGAAGGCCACTCGGCCATTGGGGAGACGTGTCTTTGACAGCTCTTTTTAAAGAGCTATCCTTTCAGTATCATTTACCAGATTCCCCCCATACCCCATGTCTCCCTATAATCTTACACCTGTTGTTTGGACACCATTCAGCATATACTTAGCAATATGACTCCATGTTGCACTGTGCTGCCAACACCAGATCGCCCTGGGAAGGTCACGATTAAGAGCTATGATTCTCTTTGCCTATCGCTCGCTTATTGCCCTGTGTTTTCCTTTGACTGCAGCACACCCCAGGCCACAGGAGAAACCCCTCCAACCAGAGCAGCCTGGAGTCTGATTCCAACTATCCCTCCATCTCCACCTCCGAGGTGGGAGACACAGAGGACACACTGCAGCAGGTGGAGGTGAGAGACCACAGCCACGAATCCAAGATAATAATAATAATAATAATAATAATAAGCCTTACATTTGATACAGCGCCTTATCTTGTCATTGGGACGTCTCTAAGCGCTTCACAGGATATAGTTTATTTTGTGGGCGAAATAAGGCAGCCAGTTGTGCACAGCAGTGTCCCACAAACAGTGGTGGACTGAGGAAATCTACTCCCACCCGGGAATCAACCCCGGTCCTTGCTTGCGAGGCGAGCGCGCTGAGCATTACGCTATGGGATTGATCCAGCGCTAATAATTCAGATACAAAGAGTAAGACAGAGTAAGCGAGTGAGCAGATCTGCGACAGATGGAGTTTAATTAACATTGCAAAGTGTCAGGTCATCCACATGGGGCGGAAGAGGGGGGAATGTCACGTAAGGTGAGCGTACTCGGAGGGGATACGTAAGTAAAGAGATCTAGGGGTGACTCTGTTTTTAGTTATTTGAAAGTGTTGGTTATTAACTTGTTCTTCCTCCCCTCCTCCCCCTCCTCCTCTCCCCTCCCCTCCCCTTCGACCTCCCACCTCTCCCCCTCCCCTCCCTCCGCCTTCTCTCCCCTCCCCTTCCCCTCGCCCCCCCCCCCACCCACACGCGCCCCGCAGGAGGTTGGCCTGGAGAACGCCGCGATGGACATGACGATATTCCTGAAGCTGCAGAAGCGAGTGCGGGAGCTGGAGCAGGAACGCAAGTCTCTGCGAGCAGAGGCAGAGCGCAGAGAGGAGGCCAAGAGCCTGGTAAACACAGCGAGGAGACAGCTAGAGTTAGGACATAGGAACAAGAGGAGGCCATTCGTCTCATCCAAGATCATGGCCGATTCCCCATTCAACTCACCTCCCCGCCCTCTCTCCGTATCTCCAGTTATCGAGCATTTATCTATTTGCCTTTTACATTTTTCAGTTGACTCTGTCTCTCACTTGTCTACGAATCTCTTTGCACCTGGCACCTCCCTACCTCTCCAACCTGCTGTCTCCCCAATCCACCACCCGTAGCCTCAGCCCGACTAGTCTGGCCTCCTGCTCATCCCTCATTCCCTCCACGTAGTTGGCCCGGAGTGAAGGACGCTGTGTAAATGCAAGTTGTTGTTATTGTTGCCTCCACTGCCTTCTGGGGGAGTGAATTCCACGCTCCCACCACCACACACTGTGAAGAAAATACCCTGTGGGCTCCAGTCCTCAATTTATTCACCAGAGGAGATAGTTGGCTCACTATTCCCTTTATAATTTTATACCCCTCAGGTCCCCTAAGAATCGACTAAGAATTTGAACCAGTGACCTCCTGGTCCTGCCCTGAGCTGGTGTCTAAGGAGTGATGAGAAGGGGAGGGGGAATGTTGAGGGAGAGGAGGGAAAATAAATAAACTTGTCTTCTTTCTACGCAGTCAAATAAATTCCAAAGTGTGAGAGACCCCGAGACAGCAGCGGAAATGGCCTACGAGAGTTTGAAGGTAAATAATAAATCAGTAAACGTATATTTATCAACTGCTCAAAGCCCATCCTTGTCTGGGTCAATTGGCCACTCCAAAACTTTGGCCAACGGGAAGCCAAAATGGTTGATTTCCTGGTCATTGGGTCCACTGACATCATTCCTGCTTGCAGAAGGAGCTGGAAAAGCCTCTCTGCCCTACCCTCTGGAATTCCAAATCCCAAGCCCTTTGGCCCTCTCTTGCCTCTTTCGAGGCTCGTCTCAAGACCTTCCTCTTTGACTGTGCCTTCGTCCACACTCCCACACACCCTGTCCACCCTCCAACCCTCTTGATTCCAACCCCCAATTTGGCTACAAACCCTTAGCTGTCCAGCACCTTGGGATGTCCTCCCAACGTGAAAAGGAGCTATATAAATGTAATTTTGTTGTTGTTGCAGAAACAATAGTAGGATTACTGTTGGAACAATGCAGCATCAATACATTTTGTATTGAATTAACATCCACTGAATAGGCAGATAAAGCCTAATGATCCCAAGACACTATTTGAAAAGCCAAGGGAGTTTCTCTCCCAGTGTCCTGGTCAACAAATCCCCCAAAATAACATTGGTTATTTGCTTCATGGCTGTTTGTGGTACATAGCTGTGTGCAAATTGTTCTTGGGTTCTCCTCCCAACCTGAAAAGCGCTATATAAATGTAATAATATTTGATCAGTCCACGACTGTTTGTGGGACACTGCTGTGGGCATTTGGCAGCTGTGTTTCGACCACAAAACCCACGGTCACTACACTACACTTTGCTGTAGCATTTTGAGATGATAAGGCACCATATCAACTGCAAGGATTATTATTATTATAGTTGATGTGAATGGGGCAGCACTGGTTAGGATTTCCTTCCCCCCCCCCCACTAACCCCACCGTTATAATAAATTTTCTGCTGTATTTCTCAGCGTCAGGAGCTGGAGTCGGAGAACAAGAAGCTGAAGAACGAGCTGAACGAGCTACGGAAGGCGCTGGCGGAGCGGGGAACTGACCAGCTCTCTTCCCACGGGGAGGAAGATTATGGCCTGCTGCTTGGGCAGCTGCGGGCGGCCAACGAGGAGCTGGAGGTGCGCAAGGAGGAGGTCCTCTTGCTCAGGACCCAGATAGTCAACAACGCACACCAGAAGGAGGCTCTCAAACAAATGGTAACTGTCTTGCACACAGCAGTGTCCACAGACGGTCGTGGGCTCGCCAGGCACTGCTGGCTCCCTATCACCCAAACATCAATTTCCTGACACTCATCTTCAAACCCCTTCATGCCCTGGCACCTCCCTACCTCCATGACCTGATTACACCCAACACACTACCCGCTGCCCCCTGGTCGACTAGGTCCAGCCTCCTGCATGCCCATCATGCCCTCTGTTCCACCACTTTCAGCCACTATGCCCCGCAACTCTGGAACGCCCTTCCTCTATCCCTCCGCCTTGCCCCGTCCTTCCCTATCTTCAGGTCGGGCCTGAGGACCTTCTCCTTCATACCTATGGTTAGCTTCCCCCCTCCCCCTGGATCGGCATCGTGCTCCGCAACTGTCAAGCGCTCTGCGACTCTACCCTGCAGGAGGGGTGCTATCGAAATACAAGTTGATGTTGTTATTGTCCATTTGCCTTCTCTTCGTCGCTTCCTTTAGTTTCACAGGAATCACTGGTCAGATTGGGTTTCAATTACAAGACAGGAATAGACTCCAAGAGAGTTCAGTCAGCTGTTTCCCTTCCGTCCGCATATTTTCCTGCCCTTTCTCTTCGCTCACCTTGAGATATTCCCGTTGCTGCTGGCAAGCTCTGTGGTTTTAGCCGGTTAGACTCCCAGCACCCCAACCCACACTCTGGGGACCCCAAGCCTTGACTCTTGCCAACCGGCACCTAATACTTTCTGGAATTAGGTAAGCAGTCCGCGTCCCTCCAGGGAGAGAGCGCACATTTCATTCTAACAATCTATCTCTGGGATTTCCATGTATAGTAGGAATGCATGGAATTCTCAGTTTGATTTGGAGACTCTTAAGCAACAGTGATGGGTTTCCTCATGTGTCAGACACTCGGCTGACCCCAAAAAATTGTTGATCCTGTGACTTCATTGTTCCCCCCCCCCCCCATTGCCCCCCGTGATTTTCCCCTCACCCCAATCTCCGTGATCTTTCCTTTCCTCGCCCCCGCACGGCCCTCACTCAAGCCGAGTTTTGATTTCCTCTTCCAGGAAATAATCGCGGAGAAATACGAGTGGAAAAGAAGCAACGAGAACATGGACAAGGACGACGCCATTGAGGCTTACAACGGTATCTGTGACACCAACAGGTAAGCAGGGTTCTGACACTTCACTGCGAGAACTCGGGTCAAAGCTGGACCTTTTGGTCTAAATCTTCAACTCAGCTCTGGTTGAGACAATCAATTACATGCAAAGAGCATGAGTCTGCTGTAATAATTGGAGATCAGAAGGAGGTCGTTGGCCTTTGCAAGTTCTTCTGCCCCTGCCCCTCTGACAAAGATGTATATTTAGCCCCAATCCCTAAATTTTCTCTTCTTCTCTCCCCCCACCCTGTTTCTATGCCCTAAAGAGGAATCCCCGCCCCCCCCTCCCCCCATACCAAACCACAGCACCTAAACTGGTAACACCCAGAGCTTTTCAGCCATGTTTGTGTGTGTCACCTTTATTCAGAAGTCGTGGGATGGCTGCGATGGGGAGAAATTGTTTCCCGAAACACATTTCACAGCATTCCTTAAACAAGGAAGGGAATGTGTTTAGGAATACCGCAATTTTGGCACAAAGGATAGAGTGCAGGGTCCTGAGGTGGAGCTCCTGGTAATGTTTACTGTTCACACTTACATCCAACAATGATTTGCAGGTTCTATGATCTTTAAGCCTCAGCTCTTGATAAAATTCTTTCTTAAATGCCTTTTCTTGTCCTATAATGTTGGTGCTGTCTTCATTCTTTCCACCTGACCTGTTGCTTCTTTCTTTCTCTCTCTCCCTCTCTCTTCCCTTCTCTTCCCACTTGCTTTCTCCTGTCGCTCACCTCCAGCCAGGCTGAGGATTGGCAATACCTTAATGAAGATGGAGAGCTAGGCCTGGCTTATCAAGGCCTAAAGGAAGTTGCCAGGTCAAATCTATGTCAAATCGTCTTGTTGTGTTTGTTTTGGGGAAGGGATCTGTGATCACCCAGTACATCTGGCTCAGTCGATAACGTTCTTGTTAGAACCTTGTGGGTTCAAGCCCCACCATCGGGGCTTTTTTGAACTCGCATGATCTAGGCTGACATTGCAGTCCTGGGGTAGAGGGTGTCACTGATTTGTCAGAGATGTCATCCTTGGGATGAGATGTTACAATGAGGTCCCGTCTTCCTATTCAGGTGGGCGTTAAAGATCTCATTCCACGGCGCTATTGCAAAAGAATTGTACGCAATTGGCGCACGTGAGGACGGCCATTTTGTGCCCATGCAATGTGGCGGTTTGGGCGGGAAGGGAATGGTGGTTTGTCTGGCGCTAACGGTGACTGACTGCTCTGACCCACAGGCTACTGGAAGCCCAGCTCCAGAGCCAGAGCCGTCAGCACGAGGAGGAGGTGGTGCTGATGAAGAGCCAGGTGGACACTCTGAAGGAGGAGTTGGAGAAACAGCAGCTGGTCCTCAACCAGACTCTGCAGCTGTCCCCCGAGGCTCGCATCGAGTACAACGTGCAGCAGGAGCTCACCCGCCTCACCAACGAGAACCTGGTAAGTCACCATCTCCAACCCTCGCTCTGTGTCTGTCTGCCTCAGTCTGTGCCACTCCCAGTCAGAAGTGGTGGGTTCAAGCTCCCCCACACACACATAATCACACACTCTCACACTCGCACACACCACACACTCACACACTTACTCACGCACTCACTCACACTCATACCCTTGCGCACACACACCTCACACATCTCACACGCTCTCACACACATTCACACGCTCGCACACACTCGCTCACACACGTCAGGAGTTTGAGCCAGTAGTCTACTTACTGCAATTCATCCCAGTTTTCAATTGGACTAAATAACTACTCCGTTCGATCCCTCCTTCCTCTTGTCCAGCGCCTTGGGACGTCCTCCCGACGTGAAGGGCGCTATACAAGTGTAATTTTGTTGTTGTTTTTGATCATGCTCGATGATCAAAGAATGGCTGTGAGTGGAGTGACTGTCTTTCAGGACCTGAAGGAGCTGGTGGAGAAGCAGGATAAGAACGAGAAGAAGCTGAAGAAGCAGCTGAAGATCCACATGAAGAAGGTCCAGGAGCTCGAAGGTGAACAGACCATTCACAGCCGCTCGTTCAGTACCTCTCCCCCCACACCCCACTCTACCCCTCCCCCTGCACTCTGCCCCTCCCCCTGCACTCTGCCCCTCCCGCTGCACTCTGCCCCTCCCCTGCACTCTGCCCCTCCCCTGCACTCTGCCCCTCCCCTGCACTCTGCCCCTCCCCCGCACTCTGCCCCTCCCCCTGCACTCTGCCCCTCCCCCTGCACTCTGCCCCTCCCCCTGCACTCTGCCCCTCCCCCCTGCACTCTGCCCCTCCCCCTGCACTCTGCCCCTCCCCCTGCACTCTGCCCCTCCCCCTGCACTCTGCCCCCCCCCTGCACTCTGCCCCTCCCCCTGCACTCTGACCCTCCCCCTGCACTCTGCCCCTCCCCTGCACTCTGCCCCTCCCCCTGCACTCTGCACCTCCCCCTGCAAGGTGCCCCACTCTACCCCCCCCCACCCCTGCACGCTGCCTATGCCACATGTGACGCCCATCTCTTTCTTGCCAGCCCGAGCATCAGTGCAGAGGGAGGTGAGGCCGGAGCTGACCAGGCAGGTCACAGTGCAGAGGAAGGAGAAGGATTTCCAGGGAATGCTGGAGTTTTACAAGGAGGATGAAAGTCTCCTGATCCGCAACCTGATCACAGGTACACGTGTGTGTGTGAGTGTGAGCGTAGTGTCAGCGTGTGAGTGAGTGTGAGCGTCGTGTCAGCATGTGAGTGAGTGTGAGCGTCGTGTCAGCGTGTGAGTGAGTGTGAGCGTCGTGTCAGCGTGTGAGTGAGTGTGAGCACAGTGCTGGTCAATCGGGGAGTGTGAGCGCAGTGTCAGTGAGTGAGCACTATTTAGGAGTGTAAGATGGAACTTCAATGAGTGAGTGTGCAAGGAGTGTAAGATGAATCCAGTGAACCCTAAGTCTTGCCATTGGCTAGTGTTGGTGGTACAGTTGTCTAACGGTACCTGTCTCTCCTCCTTCCCTCACTGCACCCCCTCTCTTTCCTCCCCCCGCCCACTTTTCCAGAGCTGAAGCCTCAGACGGTCTCGGCCACAGTGCCCGGCCTCCCCGCCTACATCCTTTTCATGTGTATCAGACACGCTGATTACATCAACGATGACCAGAAGGTTCACTCGCTCCTCACTGCCACCATCAACGGCGTCAAGAAAGTCCTGAAGGTAAGTGAGCCGCTCGCCCCAGCACCAGTCCCTTCCCCCCAACAGCTCAGTGGTTAAGTAACCCCCACTTTTCACCCCCCACCCTACCGAGGCTGAGACTGTCTGACTGAACCCCCACTCTCACTCAACCACTGAGCCGCATCGGGGGTGTGAGGGGGATTGGCAGATTGGTGGCTAACAATCTGTGTGTCAGCCTGGCTCTCTTGTGGGTTCAAACCCCACATCAGGACTTGGAATCACACAGACTAAGATGACACTCCAACACAGCACTGCGGGGGGTGTTGCATTGTCGGAGATGCCGTCCTTCAGATGAAACTTTAAACCGAGGTCCCATCTGTCTATTCAGGTGGACATTAAAGATCCCATGGGACTATTGGCAACGAGAAGGGAGTTTCTCTCTACTGGTGTCCTGGCCAACAATCCCCCAGATAAAATTGTTCACTCACTCCATGGCTGTTTACAGGGAAATTGCTGTGTGCAAATTGGCTGCGCATTCAAATGTATCGTCACTTTACAGTAAAATGCTATATAGCACATTGAGACAACAACACCAAGGATTATTATTATTATAGACTGCGGGGTATTTCCACGAGTCACTACACTTGACAGCAGGTCCCTGCGGAGAGAGATTTGAGGCCTTCCCAACGTGATTGGTTCCTCTCAGTTTTAAAAGCCACGTGAAATTGAATAGATTTATTTTAGGATATAATATCAGTGGCTAATTTGGTCGTAACATGTGCAAGCGACTGCTAGGTTGGTGGAAGATGAACTGGTTGGTCCTTGGTCTTCTTTCATCCAGCAATTCATATGTTCCTATGTCTTATCTCTTTCAAGAAACACAACGATAACTTTGAGATGACGTCCTTCTGGCTTTCCAACAGCTCCCGCCTCCTGCACTGTTTAAAGCAGTACAGCGGTGAAGAGGTGAGGTTCCTTCAGCTTCAGTAACAACATTTCTGCTTCAACCACCATTATGGAATTGTGGAATCTGCTTCCACAATCTCACTGCCCTTTGCGTGAAGTAGTCCCTCCTAAATTCTCTTTCAGATCTTCTCGTCACTATCTCCTATTTGTGTCCCTTGGTTACAGACTCACATTAACATAACATAACATGTAGGAGCAGGAATAGGCCATTCGGCCCTTCGAGCCTGTCCCCGTTCAATCATGGCTGATCTTCTAATCCAACTCCAGCTAATAACCTAACATTGTTCACATTGAGACATCTGGGGGATGATGGGGTGTGGTTAGGCAAGGGTGTGGCAGGATTTGGGGGCAGGGGTGATAACTCAGCACCCAGGGTCAGTCAGATGGATGGTTGGGGTGGAGTGGTTAGCCCCATGAGTGGGGAGTGTTCAGGTGGTGGAGTTGACCAAATGCGCAGTTGACAAAGGGTTCGTAGATGGGTTTTTGAAAAATCCCAATTCGATCCGATGGTGCGTGGGAAGAGACTTAAATTGAAACCACACCAGACTCTTGCCCCGACCGCCCCACCGCCCCCACCTCCAACGCTGATTCCCCTCACCTTGGCTCCCGATTCCCCCAGGATTTCATGAAGAGGAACAACCCGCGGCAGAACGAACACAGCCTCAAGAACTTCGACCTGACTGAGTATCGGCAGGTTCTGAGCGATCTCTCCATTCAGATCTACCAGCAGCTGGTCAAGGTCGCTGGGACCATTCTGCAGCCCATGATCGGTAAGACCCTCACCAACAGGCATCAGCGGGATCCAAATCCCACCTTGTGGAATCCATAATAGGATTACTGTTGGAACAACATCAATACAGGTTATATTGGATTGAAGTCCACATGAATAGGCAGGCGGAACCTATTGATCCCGAGGCGCTGTGAAAAAGAGATGGGGGTTTCTCATGGTGTCCTGGCCTCCCATAGCGTGGTTAGAGCATTCGCTCGCAAGCAAGAGGACCCGGGTTTGATTCCCGGGTTGATGGGCAAAATCTTAGGCCAGTTTCCTTACTCCACACGCCTCTGTTTACCCAGCAGTAAGTAGGTTGTTAGTCGATTGGTGGATCGCTTTCCGGAGGTAATAATCCATTAAAAATACTACTAATAATAATTGGGTCACTCAATCCACGAATGTTTGAGGGACGCTGCTGTGCGCAATTATTTCACCCACAAAATGCACAGGTGATATATCCCGTGAATATATCCCGTGAAGCACTTTGAGACGTTTCAACAATGTGTTAAGGCGCCGTGTCAAATGCAAGGATTATTATTAGTATCAATGAAGACATTCTTATTATTTTCGTTAATTCCCCTCTCGCTCTGGTTGCTGCTGTGAAGTGTCGTCCATGCTGGAGAACGAGAGTATCCAGGGACTGAGCAGCGTGAAGCCTATGGGCTACAGGAAGCGATCTTCCAGCCGGGTGGACTGGGACAGTGGCTACACACTGGAGGCTTTGCTGAGGCAGCTGAGCAGCCTGTACAACACCATGTGTGAGCATGGCCTGGACCCCGAGATCATCCAACAGCTCTTCCGACAACTCTTCTACATCATCAATGCCGTCACCCTCAACAACCTGCTGCTCAGGAAAGACGTGTGCTCCTGGAGCACGGGGATGCAGCTCAGGTACAATTCCCCGCACCACTGCTTCCTACCTTCCTATGTTCCTGAGACTCACCTCCCCCCCTCCCTCTTCCATTATCTCATTATCAGACCTCGCCACTGTGAAGAGCAAGTTGTTGTTGATTCAACAGCACTCAAGAGTCAGAAAGTTGTGGGCTTGTTCCCCCCAATCCCACTCCCACCGTGTTTGAGCTCATGGTCTGCCCTGATGTAGGTTAGGAAAGAGAAGGGCATGGTGGTGGAGCATTGCCTTGTTGCAACTGGCATCCTTTGGATAAGACATTAAACATTGCGGAATCCAGTAGAGTAATGGTCAGTGAGCTCACCTCACAAGCGAGAGGACACAGGTTTGATTCCCGGCCACTGCAAAACCTTAGGCTAGTTTCTTTAGTCTCTCCACACTCCTCTGTTTACCTAGCAATAAGTAGGAACCTGTTAGTCCAGCCATTAAGGCAGAGAAGAGACATTCATCCTAGAACTCATTGATTTCTCTCTGAATCTCTCCCTGGTGATCACGGTTCTGAAAGTGCTCCTCTCTCTCTCTCTCTCTCTCTCTCTGTAGATACAACATTAGTCAGCTGGAGGAGTGGCTTCGAGGGAAGAACCAGCAGCAGAGCAGAGCTGTGCAGACCATGGAACCTCTGATCCAAGCTGCACAACTCCTCCAAGTAAACAAGAAATCCAATGAGGACGCCCAGGCCATCTGTTCCATGTGCACATCTCTCAACACACAACAGGTAGGTGGCCTTTACCCATCTCGTGTGGAATCCCATAGCGTAGTGGTTAGAGCACTCGTGAGAGTGCCCAGGTTTGATTCCCAGGTGGGACGACACCTTCAAAGTTTCCTTACTCCACACGTCTCTGTTTACCTAGCAGTAAGTAGGAACCTGGTTGTTAGTCAATTGGCGGATCGCTTTCCAGAGGTAATAATCCCATAAAAAAATAATAATTGGTTCACTCAATCCACGACTGTTTGTGGGAAGCTGCTGTGTGCAATTGGTTGCCGCGTTTCGCCCACAAATTACACAGTCACTCCACTTTACAGTATATTCTGTGAAGCGCTTTGAGACGTCTTAACGACGTGATAAGGAGATGCAAGGATTATTATTATTATCTCACAGCTGAATCCATCCAGGAGAGTGGGCCTTCAGTCCCCTCTTCCAAGCCCATGTCAGGACTTTGAACTCACAGTCTGATGCTCCACTGTAGTGCCGTTGGGGGTGGGGGGTGGACAGGGAAGGGAGACACTGCATTGTCAGGGATATCCTCTGGATGTGACGTCTGCCTGTTCAGGTGGAAGTTAAAGATGCACAATTAGAAAAGCGAAGGAAGTTTCTGTCTCCCCATGTCTTGGCCGACAATTCCCCCAAATAAAATCGAACGTTGATGCGTGCAATTGGGCTACAGGTTCACCTCCAAATTCAGAGTCACTCCATTCTCCATTTCACAGTAAAGATACTATGAAGTGCTCCTGGTGTGAAACGCGATGTACCAAATATAAGGGTTATTATTAATCTTGCTCTTTCTGCCAATAGATTGTGAAGATCTTGAATCTGTACACACCCATCAATGAATTTGAAGAGCGTGTGACAGTGGCTTTTATTCGCAATATTCAGGTGAGTTCCCTCAATCTCTCTCTCTCTCTCTCAAGAGAATTCAATCACACTCAAAGTGGTGCAGTACTTCCCAATTTTAGAAATCCCCCCTCCCTTCCATCCCACAACAATTTTCCACCTACGGCATAGAAATTCCCTTTGTCTGGAATGGAAAGCACACACCCTTTTTCTTCCACACCCTTCCTTGAAAAGAAACCCTTGCTCACCAGTAGGTAGGTGCAGGTTGGTGAGAGTCAAAGCTGGTGGGGAGGGGGGGAAGCCCCAGAGTGTGTGTTTGGGGGGAGGGGGAAGATTAAGCAGCTAAAAAACTATTGTCCCTCGAGCCCAGCATTCCACCATCAGTGGTCATGCTTTCAGCCACTTCGCCCAAAAACTCTTGAACAGTCTTCCTCAATCCCTCAGTCTTGCCCCTTCCTTCCCCATCTTCACGACACGCCTAAAGACCTTCCTCTTCGACTGTGCCTACAGTCACCTCCCCCGGCTTGGCGTCAGGCTCCAGCACTGTCAAGCGCTCTGGGACACTACCCTAGGTGAAGGGTGCTATATAAATGCAAGTTGTTGTTATTTGACCTGTTTTGGACCTTGTGTAACCTGTGGTGTTTTGTGTTAAACAGTCACACTTACAGGATCGCAACGACCCTCCACAACTGTTGTTAGACTTCAAGCACACGTTTCCTGTCATGTTTCCGTTTAATCCATCCTTGCTCAACCTGGACTCCATTCACATCCCAGCGAGTCTGAATCTAAGTTTCCTCAACAGAGTATAGAATGAACATGATCGGCTGGGAACGAGAGACAGAGGAGATGGTGGTGGGTGGGTGGGTTGGGGGATTGGGTTGAAGAGGGAGGATTGGAGACAAAATCCGAATCCTCACTGCCTTCTGATGAAGATGGGCCCTTAAAGCCTTCCCAACACTGAATGAGAAGACTGCACTACCTCTCTTCCCAAACGCACCACCATTTCAAACCTAACGCTGAGAAGATTTCCCACCTGGGCAATAGATCTTGATTTCTTTTGATTGGTATCTTGTGAAACTGGATCAGGGTTGAGGGCGGTGGGGGGAATGCAGAAGGGAAAGGGCCAATCTTCTTTTTGGGATCAAGAGCAAACACAACTCAACAGGCATCATCTGGTCTCACGGGTTTGAAGAGGAGAAAAGGTAGAGCGGTGAATAAAGTGGGAATTCTGTCGGGTACTGTGCATGCTCTCACAGCTCGCTCAAAGCCACACTCACTCCCTGTCCCCAATGCTTCCCAGGAATTCTCAAACTCCCGGATCGGAGTTTCCACACTCTCTCCTTTTCAGATTCGGTCATGGGCTTGTATGCGTAGACACACCAGCTTCGAATCAAACTTATACATCCAGTTAGGAGGCGATCACACTTTCCTGTTAGACTTTCCAGCACCTCCTCACCCCATTCACAGGGGCCTTTGCTATTGATTTGCTTCAGAAGGCAGATTGCGATCACCATTTCCATTATTGTAGCATGCGACTATCAGGGTGGTAGAGGCCAAACTAGTCTTTTTTATTGTCTAGTAATTTCCTAAAGCAGATGTTACTATTACTTCCAGCATCCGGTCAGCGCTCTGTTCAGTATCTCATTAATCTTAAGAAGGGGAGAAAGTATCACAAACCCATTGAACCAGTTAGCTCTAGACAGTGTGTGTGTGTCTGAGATACGCGAGGAACTAGTACGAGGTTCCCCTTTACAACCAGGAGCAAAATTGATCCACCCTGTTTCCTCTATTACCAACCGTTGCCCAGTGTACTTCCTCTCTCTGTCTGTGTGTTGCGCAGGAACTAGCCTTCCAGCCGCGCCTCAAGTATTGAAACGTGGCTGGGACACAGCACCCAAAGAGGGTGTCCCATTCCGTCTTCGCATTTCCTCTTAAATTGTGGACAAATTCCACTCCTAGTTTGGCAGCCATCTTCCTAACCCCCCCCCCAGCTCCTTTATTAAAAAGAAACCTGCTTCCAAATTACGGCAGAGTTTTAAGGATTTTTTCACCATTTCTGCGGAACTTTAAAACGTTTTAAGACAAGGCAGTCTCTCAGGCTAAGACCTGGTGGAATTTCAGGTTCAATAAGGTTTGTCAATCTGAATACAGCTCTTAGTGGCACAGGTTCAAAGTAATAAAGCTCCTCTTAATTCAGTACTGAATCGGTTATCTCACTCCAAAGGTCCCCTGTGTGTGAGACACCGAACATGTGGCTGGTTGAGGTGGAAGGGGCTCATTTGAGGTTGGAAGTAGGGGTATGTGATTCGGTTGGAGGCAGCTTTACTCTGCTCTTATGCTGTGCAGGGGCTGGGCTTGATATTGTTATTGGATGCTCAATATGGCTGGGTTGAAAACTAGTTTTCTCTCCTTGTTTAGCTCCCTTCCTCTTTCTCTCTCCACCCCTCCCCTTCCCCATAAACTATAACGTCTTATAAATGGTGGAAATTGGTGGAAATGGTTGCTTTTGAAAGAAAATGTGGTTACGAAAGATATCAGAGGTCCACAATAACAGCTCGCGTTTATAAAGTGCACGTCACGTGGGGCAGGGTCTCGGAGAGCTTAGCAAAGGCGGATGGGGTCGGGGTCGGTTATGAAGTGGGACTTGATGGAATTTTGTAGTTACGGAAACCGGAAACCCCTCTCCCCTACCCGTGAGGGACACTACATAAACACAAGTTGTTGTTACTGTGGATCTTCATGTATGTAAAAGTATGGAACAGGTTCCCAGGGAAACGGTGGAAGCAGAAAGTGTTGTTTGTTTCAAGAACAAATTAGATAGGTTTCTGTTAGGAAATATTATCCCGGGATACAGTATATAGTTCGGGACACGACATGTCAAGTGACTGCCGGGTTGGTGGAAGGCGAACTGGATGGACCTTGGCCTTCTCTTGCCTAGCAAATTCTTATGTTGTTATGTTCTGATATGATCTACTTCCAGAGCACAATTCCCATGTGCTGCAACTTCCGGAAGGAATCCGCCACTCGCAATTCCTTATTCGTGGAATCCTCATCGGAAACCATGGCGTGTTTAAAAAAAACAATGTACATATACATACAGCTATTAAACACTGGAAACTTTGCACATCTTTCAAAAACTTGTGTCTTCCTCTCCCCCCCCCCCCCCCCTTACGTAATAGAATACTTTTTTTTTCGGCTTAAGGTTGCAAATGATTATTTATTCGTTTTGTTGTAAATATAAAATGGTCTGTGGGGGTGTTGGGGATTAATTTGCAGGATATGTTAAATTAGAGATTTAGTGTGTGTGTGTGTAAGGAGGAATAGTGCAAGTCAGCGTTTTGTGTGTAAATGGCAATAATTGATCTGCTTGTGTAGGGGATTCAGTTTTAGGATATAATATCAATCATCCTTGCAAATCATAGAATTTTATAGCACAGAAGAAGGCCATTGGGATATTATGCCTTTGCCGGCTCTTTGAAAGGAGTTATCCAACTAATCCCGCTTCCCCGATCTTTCCCCATAGCCTTGCAATTCTTTCCTTTTCAAATTCTGTACCTATCCTTTTCCCTTTTGAAAGCTGCTATGGCATCACCCCTTCAGGCAGTGCATTCCAGAACATGATGAAACGTCTCAAAGCGCTTCACAGGAAGGTGGAGTGACTGTGTTTTGTAGGCGAACCCGGCAGCCATTTTTGTGCTTGGCAACGGCCCACAAATGAATGTCCCGATTTTTTTTACCTGGGGGATTGTTGGCAAGGAGACAGGGAGAATCTCCCTTCTCTAAGGTGTATTCAATAGGAAGTTAAGATAGATACATGAGGGAGAAAAGAATAGGTTATGCTTGAAGGCTTAGTTGAGGAAGGGCAGGAGGAGGCTCATGTGGAGCATAAACACCGGCATAGACCAGTTGGGCCGAATGGCCTGTTTCTGTGCTGTATATTCTAATGTATTCTAATATAAGATCTATTGAGGATACTAATATCATGGGAACAGGAAGAGGCCATTCAGCCCCTCGAGCCTGTTCTGCCATTCTGTAAGACCATGGCATATCTGTACCTCAACTCCAGTTGCCCGCCCTTGCCCCATATCCCTTGATACCCTGACCTAACAAATACCTATCCACCTCAGTCTTGAAGATGTGAATGGATCTCAGCATCCACAGCCTTCTGGGGGAGAGAGTTCCAGATTTCCACTGCACTTTGTGTGGAAAAAAAAAGTGTTTCCTGATTTCATTCCTAAACGACCGAGCTCCAATTTTAAGATGATGCCCCGCTTGTTCTGGATTCCCCCACCGCAGGGAATAGTTCCTCTGTATCTACCCTAGAGAATGCGCAGATGTGAGCAGGCGAGTGCTAAAGGAACGGGGAGGAGTTGTAGAAGAGGAGCAGGACCGGGGAGAGGACGTCAAACAGGTAACAACGGGGCAAACTGAGCAAGTTATTCAGGCGCAGGAGCCGCAGGGTTAGTGTGGGAGCGGGGTCAGTGCGAGAGGTGACTTTGGCAGCGAGGTCTCGGGGACGAAGACTAGTTACAGGCACCGGTGGTGAGTGGAATTCGACGCGATCATTCGCGGTGATCAGTGGGTTCAGCCGCTGAGACGCTATTTTAAAATGTCCTGCCTGAACCTAACAGCTGAACACCCCCCCCGTGTAATCCTTTCCTCCCGCTAGTTTTTGAATTACTGGAATCAGGTTTAGTCTTACTTTCATCATCAAAAAAAACCTAATAAATTGGTCTCTCAATCTACGACTGTTTGTGGGACACTGCTGTGTTTTTTNGGATGTTGTAGCACTCACCTCACAAGCGAGAGATCTGGGAAAATTTCCTTACTCCGCACGATTATTAATATTATTAATATTGTGCTAATAATCCCTCAAAAAATCTATAATAAAATTGGTCACTCAATCCACGGCTGTTTGTGGGACATTGCTGTACGCAATGGGCTGCCGCGTTTCGCCCACAGAATATACAGTCAATTCACGTTACAGTGTAGTCTGTGAAGCGCTTTGAGACGTCTCAAAGAGGTGATAATGCGCTGTATCAAATGCAATGATTATTATTGTTATTATCATCATTCTCTCTCCTTCCCCCCCTCCTCCCAATAAACTTCTCTGCGTTCAAACTGTAAGCCTTGCAGTGCTGGCTCCCAGGGTATGTGTAGTTAAACAGCGGGTCAGGTCAGCACATAGACTGATGGTAAAGGATAAAGTGAGGTGGAGAGAAAACGACATTTTTTTTAAAAAAGGGACACACAATCGATTGCCTTGACTTAATTTACTAAAGTAACAAATAATAATAATGATCCTCGCATGCGATATAGCGCCTGATCATTTATTCAAGATGTCCCAAAGCGCTTCACAGAATATACTGTAAAGTGAATGTAACTGTGTTTTGTGGGCGAAACGCGACAGGCAATTGCGCGCAATAGCGTCCCACAAACGATCGTACTCCTGTGAAGACTGATAACTAGCTGTGTGCTTAACAATGTCCGTCTTCCCAATCAATAGCCCCCACTGGGAGGGTGGGGGGGGAATGAGAGGGTGGAGAGAGAAAAGAGAGAAAAAAACAACAACTTGCATTTATATAGCGCCCTCTACGCAGAGTGCTGTTTGATACAGTAAACTTCTGATAATTTGTCACTCCAAGGGACAAGGGCTCAGTGACAAGTTATGTGGAGTCCTGTAGCTCAGTGGTTAGAGCACTCGCTTTGCAAGTGAGAGACCTGAGTTCAATTCCAGGCAGAGGGCGACACCTTGGGCAAGTTTCCTTACTCCACACGCCTAATAATAATAATAATAATCCCTCCGAAAACAATAATAAATTGGTCATTTTCAATCTA